GGACAAAGTACCTATAAAAGTAGAAATTTCAGTAAACACGCGACCAGTTTATGTCGTAGTTTACAAACTGATAACAGGCAATAATGATGCGTCATTATTTGTTACATTCTTATCGCTTGCTCGAATTAAATTTCAGCGAACTGTTTTTAGTAGGTCTCACATGATACAGGGATTTATAAATAGGTTCATGGTCTCGTATGAATTATTTTATACTGTGGCAGCATGTCAATCAAGAAAAGTAAAGTAAAGTTACAGCCTATATACGTCCCGAGGGTTTTTTAGGGCAAGGAAGTGTCCGTCGCGCTGCCCCAATGCGTGTTGGCGAACTTCACATGTCTTCGAAATAATTATTTTTTCTTATTCCTCAGACATGCAGGTTTCTTCACAATGTGTTCCTTCACCGCTGAGTACGTGGTAAATCAGCACTTAAAATTGCAATTAACAATTTCATTGGTGTCGGTGGGGATCGAACCCGGGTTACTCACGTTCTGTTATAGTTACAGCGGGCGTTAACCATCTGAGCTACCACGGTTCAAGAAAATATAATCACTAAATTTTAGTTGGGGCTTTGACTACCTTGGATTCATTTATTTCTTAATTTTACAGCATTTAAAGTTAAGAGTTGATTGTCAAGATTATTACTTCAAAGAACATGACACTATCAATTAGCGAAAGGCTTGTAGATATTTAGCAAATACCTAATAGCCTAATAGCTATAGCAAATATAACAAATGTCCGCCACGGGCTTTTATTGTGACTGGGGCTGGGGAATTGAAGTTTTTACATGTCCTTAAAATATAATTTTATTAAACCGACGTCGAAAACTTTTAATTTGAAGTCGGTCGGAGGATGCTACATCTGGAGCTTCTTAATTCGTCGAAATATTTTTTTTTTGTATGTTGAGCTACGTAGTATTTTCATTTATTTTGTGGTTCAGCTATTATTGTTTACGACTTCCGATTACAATCAATCTTTTTTTGTCAAAAAAAGTAGATACCTCAGGGATGGTTCAATATAAATTAAAAAAAAATCATAAACTCTTCTTTTGCAAAGGTTACCTATACCTGCGTGACATAAGGACGAATAATTCCTTAACACGTCTACCGATTTCGATGTTAATATTCTGTTTAGTTCTTTTAATGTCGCTTTTTACCTTATTTAAAAATGTAGTTATTTCTTTAATATAAAATATAACAGCATCCTTTTTGTAAAAATATAGATTGCACAGGATATTGGTCTTTTCCTTGCCGAACGGTAAATTAGGTAGGTAAAGGAATCCCATATGCAAAAAAACGAAACGCATTAGTTTTCATACATTGATTTGTTACCTTTTATATATTATGTAACTCGGATTAGCTAGGTACGTGAACATAAAAAATTATCATCATCATCACATTCTATCAAAAGTCCACCGATAAAATTGGGACATCTGCTAAAGTTAAGCTTGGCAGGATTAGGATTATACATAATGAAATAGGCAATAAGGTGCGGGGAGGCAATTGCAACTAAAAAATATAAGCACTAAATTAATTTGAATTGAATTCATGAATTCATGTACCCATTTTTGGATGAGTCTGAAATAAAAAACATTGTTTTTACTAAGTGCCCTATGTATCATTGAAAGCTAATAATATGATGATTCAGTTTATTAGTTTATAAGAAAGCCTCCAGTAAACCATTTCTGTGAGAAGAATGCAAAAGGTCGCATTTACCCCTCACCGGGGTAATTGCAACTTATAGCTGTAAGTATGATATACTTGCGAATATACATTTTTAAATGAGTGTAGGTTTTAATTTGTATTGTCTTTTTTTCGATAATGGTTTTTAAATCAGCGTAGGTAAAGTTTAAATTACCGTAAACTTCTATCAAAAATGTTAAGGGGCAAATGCAACTATTTTTTCGAGAATAGTGATGGGATATGATATATTATCATAGTTCATCGATGTCACAGGTCATAGTTTATCAAGATCTATATTTTTTCATAAAAAATATAAGTGAAGAACTTAGTGATAACTTTGTAAAAACTAAGTTAAATCCCGCTATATACACTTCCAATATGTTCAATTGGTTTATTTAAATTACCCAATTGATCAAACTCGTGCAGTTAATGAAACGGTGCACTAGTTGAAGGCTATATAATATAATAATGTTCTACCATTGTGCGACGTGCGTATGTGTGTGGTAACTGAATAGCTGAACAGATTGAAATTAGAAATGGAAATATATGACTTTGTCTATCATGTTGTTAACCTAACTGTCATGTTATTGTTAAAATTAAATGTCATATTGTTAAATTAAATTGATAAAGCCCATAGGGCCCAGCTGGTAATTGATAAAAGTAGGAAGTAATATTGAAAAACGGTGTTTTACGATCTGTTTTTGTTAGATACGGCTCAAAATTTAGGAGTCATTTATGGCAACTTGACAAATCAATAACTGTTTCGTCGAGTTGTATTTAACTATGTACTTATTTAGAATAAAAAAAATCCATCAAACCATTTAATTGCCATCACAGGCAATTATAATGTGCAATATATGTTTATTATGGCAATAAAATATGTTCATATTGACATTTTCGAAGATATGAATATACGAAGCTATTTTTTTTTCTTCGATTTCAGAAGAAAATACTTCTGGTCTTTCAACTCTGGGCATTTTAACTCCTAAAGTACTATATAGTCTAGAGATTATTGTAGATCTCAGTATTTTGTATCTTTGTTCTGAATCAGCTGTAAAATTTTTTTGTGCGAACTGCAACAACTGCTTCATTCTGCTGTTCTACTGTGTTTTTCGACCCTTTTTTCTTTTGTAATTCGCATCATCTAAATCAAAACAAATAATCATAATCTATCTTCCTTCTAAATTTCATTTATATCTGTTCAGCTGTTTAAGCTTGAAGCGTTAACAAAAATGTAAATACACTTATACACTTTTGCATTTATACACACATTTTTCTCCCAGGATAAAAAGTAACCTATGTGTTAATTCAAGGTATAATAAATCTCCGTACCAAATGTCGTTGAAATTGGTTCAGTCAATAGGTTTAACGTGAAGGAGTAACAAACATACATAAACAAACTTTCGCCTTCATACTATTCTTGACTCAACGGTAAAATATGTATAACTACTAAGCAAAAATAACAGAATCTTATTAAAAAATCGACGCTGGAACATCTCTAGCGTTTATCAATTTCATACAAATTTGGTGTGGTAATTGCAACTAACCTGAAACTAATCTAAAAGTCACAATTTCCCCTCAACCCGATTTCAAGGGGCTATTGTAACTCTAGCTTTATCACTTAATACGAGAGTCATACAAAAGAATAAATATTACAAAAAACTTAACCGTATATAAAATCCGCTTTCTGTTAAAAACACCGTCGTTTTAGACGAAATTAGATATTTCTCAAAAAACGCATACGCAGACTCCTTCGTAAACATCAACCAAAATTGCGGATATTTAAATGTCACTGTAGCTAAAGCAGGGTAAATGAAATCAAAGCCATCTTTTGTATCTAGAAGGAGTTTTTGTTCCTGCGTACTTTTAAAGGTGGCATTATTCATAGAAATTGAATGGCAAGAAATTATTTAAAATAGTTGCATTTTCCCGGTAGTTGCATTTGCCTCGCTGGACCTTACATATGGCCTTAGACTGTCCCTAAGCAACTGCAAAAAAAAAACATATGCCTCCCTAGCCAGTCTGGAAATTTTATACCTGGACTTTAATGGAAATGAGTTTAACCCAGGTAGAGCTAAAGATGACAAAATATTCGATTATGCGCCTTCTGTTTGGGCGTAGACACTCGTCGTCGTCACTATAGATATACCTAAGTTATTTTAACAGGAATTTTTTATCTCGTATAACTTCTTGCACTATTATTTATTCTGTGGTATAACCAACTATAAACACTGTTCTTAGAATACCTATTTATAAGCAACTATGCTTATTTTTCTTATTATATATACATATATATTATATTTTGATAAGGTATATATTGGCATTTAGGCCATTACGCATTTTTTGTTTTTATCGTCGTTTTTGAAAGTTAATGTTCTTGTATTACAAGTAACAAATAAAATTAAAAATCAATGTTCATTACATTTTCTCATAAAATACCGATCGATTAAAATAACTACCCAATTTTATAAATTTCTTTAAGTGCGAACAGAAAACATACGGTTTGAGACGGTAACGATGTGACCATTTCACGATCAAAATCAAAAATCAAAATGTTCGTTATTATTCTATGCCGACTATGCACTTTATAAGGCCAAACAAAAAGAAAGGTCGCTAGCAAGGTTCGTTGTGCGCAGCTGTCCGCCTTCCTCGCCTTCCTTTGTATTGCTTTGTATCTTTCGTGAGGGGGGTGACGTCACAAAATGGCGCAGCGTTGCGTCGTCCGCCATTTTTATCTTCAATGCGTCATTGGAATTTCGTTCAAGCGAATATGGACTTTAAGTCGTATTTTACTATGGAAAATTCCAATAGAACGAATCATTGATCTGTACTGTAGAATGATGATTCAACCACTTTGAACAATAACCTCGAAATTTATATTTGTATTTTTGCATTTGTTCCTGTACCAGATTTTTCTATCGAGCCTTTGCTTTAGATATGTTATAGTATTTTATTTGTATATAGGTAGGTAAATTAAATTATTTCTGCGAATATTATTGGGTTTAAGTATGTACCTAATACCTATACCTACATATATGTACTCAATATAATTTATAAGTTTTAGATTTATAGGTGTATTGAGATTTGCGGCGACAATATCTAGGTAGGTATTCATAAAATGGCTAGTTTAGTTAGAAAATAAAATTATAGCGGTTTTATTTTGTTATTTATATTTATACTAATACAGACTTCAAATAGAAGTCCTTGTATCTACTATTATAACTTCTCAGACGAAATAAAAACTCGAGTCAGTCGAGTTTTTATTTCGTCTGAGTATAACATATACATAATATAACTTTTCGAATACCTACGAAACAAGCTATGTACGTAGGTACTTTAGTACTCTTTTTAGTCTGTGTATCAAATTGTACCTATAGGTATATTTCTTATTGATGAAAATAGGTTAGGTTACCTACCAAAAATCTGATACCTAGGTATAGGTACCTACCTAGCTACAAATAATGACAGTAATAGTTAATATGAAGACTGCTATGGATACGAATGAAAGTGGGCTTAAAGAAGTTGTTTGTGTTAGGGGTCTACGCCCCAGACATCTAAGGCCACTTATATCCGAGAGCAGTTTTGGGAAATGGTAAGGATGGTGTTAATGAAGTTAAAGGGAAATGAAAATATTATTATGCTAGGAGATTTTAATGGAAGGGTTGGGGTGAGGAGGCTTGGTTATGGAAGTATATTGGGAACGTTTGGTGATGAAAGTATAAATGAGAATAGTGAAAGTCTCCTCACCGTATGTATGGAAAAGAATCTTTTTGTGACGAACACTTGCTTTCGCCACAAGAGGATTCACATGTATACTTGGGAAAGAGGTGACGATAGAAGCATGATAGATTTCATAATTGTGGATGAAAGATTGAGGGGCGCAGTGGTAGATACAAGGGTTTACCGGGGTTCTAACGTAGGAACGGATTATTATTTGGTTTTATGCCGAATTAATGGTCTATTCAGGCGCTGGCGCTATCGATCATCTGTGTCTACTACTGCGTTACAGCGTATTAGAACAGAAAGGTTACAAGATGAAGGTGAGAAAAACAAGTTCAAATGTAGACTGAAAGAAAATATAAGTGGATTGGATGAATTATGTATGAAGGAGTTTGACTTGGAGAATGTATGGCAAAACGTAAAGAAAGGTTTAGTGGATGCAGCTACCGAAGTACGTGGTGTTAGTAAGAGAAAGAATGAAAGGAAAAATAATACGTTATGGTGGGATGATGAGATACGTATGGAAGTTGAAGCAAAGAAGAGAGCATGGCTAGATTTACTAGCAACAAAGGCTGGTAATTTTAGCGATACGAATGATGATATTGAAAGAAAAAAGGCATTCTTTAGACATCTTAATAAGAGAGTAAAAGAAGTAGTTGAAAGAAAAAAGCAAGAAAGAACGGATAAGCATGATAGAAGAATATCGGATAACTTCCAGTCAAATATTAAAATGTTCTGGAAACTTGTAAGAACTGCCAGGGGACATTCAAAACAGCCTATGATGAATGCTATAAGAGACGAGAATGGCTATATTCTGAATGATGAATTTTTGAGTTTAAAGAGATGGAAGGAATATTTTGAAAGCGTGTTTATGAGTGAGGAGACAACGTGTGTACTAAGTGAAGTAGAAACTCCGAAAGAAGAGGAAAGAGGTAGCGAGATAAGTATAGATGAAATAATGAAAGCAATAAAAAGCATGAAAGCAGGTAAGGCTGCCGGATATGATAGAGTTTCACTCGAAATGCTAAGGGCTGGAGAGGAAGTTGTGGTAGGCCTGCTGCACACCGTGTTTAATTTATGCTGGGAACTGAAGCGGGTACCGGTAGACTGGTGCAAAGCCGTGATAGTCCCAGTATATAAAGGAAAAGGGTCGCAGCGGGACTGTAAAAACTACTGTGGCATCAGCCTTCTTAGCATTGTGGGAAAACTGTATGCTAAGGTACTGATTGAAAGGGTCATGAAAGAAACTGATGGAAAAATTTGGGATGTGCAAGCGGGATTTAGAAAGGGAATGGGATGAACAGATCAAGTCTTTTCCATGCGCATGATCGCGGAGAAGTTTTTGGCCAAAAACCAAAAGGTTTTTTGTGCGTTCATGGACTTGGAAAGGGCCTATGACAGAGTGGATAGGGATGTGCTATGGCAAACACTGAACTCATTTGGGTTGAGCGCTGGCTTGATACAGGCATTGGAGTCTCTTTATAGGGACTCTAGTGCTTGTGTTAGGATCAACGGGGTCTACTCGGACTGGTTTGACATCCATAAAGGTGCCCCGTGGCTGTTCAACCTATTTATGGACAGTTGTTTGCAAAATTTGAATGTTGAAGAATGCGGATTAAGAATGGGTGAGTTAACCGTCAAATGCCTTTTGTACGCCGATGATCAAGTTATTCTTGCGTCGTCGGCGGCCGAGTTGCAAATGATGGTTACATTAATGAACAGATCATTAAAAGAAAGGGGTATGAAAGTGAACGCAAGTAAGATGAAGGTTATGGTTTTTGAAAGAGAAGAAAGTAAAACGATTTGTAAAATAAGAATAGAAGGTGAGTTGATCGAGCAAGTAGATGAGTTTGTATATTTGGGCTGCGTATTTAGCAGGGATGGGAGGTATGATAAGGATATATAACGATGAATGAATGCGGGAAATAGAGTAAATGGGGCCCTGCACTCTATTCTGAAGAGTCAAAATGTGTCAAAAAAGGCACGTATGGCAATTCACAATGCTGTGTTGGTCCCTACTTTAACGTATGGTAGTGAAAGTTGGGTGTGGCAGAAGAAGCACGAGAGTAGAATCAACGCAGTAGAAAAGCGGTCGTTAAGGAGTATGTTAGGGCTGAATCTGAACGACAGGGTAAGAAATTGTGTAATAAGAGAAGAGTGTGATTTGCAAGATGATGTTGTGACCAGGATTAAGAAAGAAATGCTTCGGTGGTTTGGTCATGTGGAAAGAACGAATGAGGAAAGAGTGACAAAGAAAATTTATGTTGCAGAAGTGAATGGCAGAGTCGGAAAGGGACGTTCTAGGCGAAAATTTATCGACCAAATTGGCGATTTATTGAAAACGGGCTAAATAAGGAGTACCCTTAACCGACGAGCATGTATGCGTAGGTGTATGGATGTGAAGGAGGCGAGAGAGGTGTGTCAGGATCGTGCCAAATGGAAGTCTGTAGTCTCTGCCTACCCCTCTGGGTGACAGGCGTGAGTGTTTATGTATGTAATAGTTAATATATAATAGTAATACTTATAGTCAACCAAATTCATACCAAATCTAAGAAATACATTTTGACAGCAGTCAGACGTCAGACTTATTGCACCAAGCATGCCAACCAAAAATTGGGAACGTACAATATTTCGATTCTTAAAAAAATCGATATCGATTATTTAGATCTGGTAATCATTTACAATTTTGTTTTAATAATACCAAAATAAATTTAAAACAGACAATTTAAAACCCAAGATTTATCAGTTTCTTCGCATTTGTGGTTACTGCTTATTTCTAGAGGCACAGTTATAAAAATTTTAGATTGAAACTAGATTAAAAATAAATTTATTCAATCACTTTCAGTACAACTAGTTGAGCTGTCGTTGTTCAGATTAATTTTTATTTGATTTTCAATAATGCAGTCAAAATTGATGTCTTTTTCAAAGTAATCCATAATCAATATTTTCGTTTTTTTACCACTTTTGCCGTATCCATCCTTTAAGACATGGGTACATGCTTCAACGAATATAGAAGAAACAGTTCAAAAAGTTAAAACCGAGTCACAAAATAAAAGGACAAACAAAATCACAAATTTACGCACAGTAAGCTCCCGAAATGGCGGGTGATTGAAATTACATAGTGGTTTTTTCAGAGCGACCATGTCGACCATTACCACGACCTGATAATTTCAGTTATTTTTTATTATTTTTTAATATTGTAATTTTAATTTAGAAAATCTTACTTCAGATTGATCAAAACTACTTTTACGGGTTTTATCGCGTTTTATTTATTTTATTTTCAATTATGTAGATACCTCAGATTATTTTTATGGTGAACGCTACATTTTAACCGTTGTTTTTGAATGCTCTATTGAAAAAGTAGTATATTTTACATTTGGGTGTTTATAATTTCTTGTGTTTTTAGGCTATGTTTCCTTCTTTCTTGGTACATTTTCATATTTCCAGCATTCTTGGGACGATACCATGGAAAGTAGGACTGTATGATAATTTCAGTTATTTTTTATTATTTTTTAATATTGCAATTTTAATTTAGAAAATCACGCTGTAAATAACTCATAACTATGTAATTCAAAGTTTACATTTTTTTATATTATCTTGCTAGCTTGTACCCGGCGCATTGCTGCCGCAGAAGAAATAATTGTGTAAATATCGTTAAACATGTGTAACAGTTATATTTTACAATTAGGAATGATAATACAATCATTGAAATAGAATGCTATATAACTTTCTATAACTTTCAAATAAATAGTCAGTATAGTAACACGCCACCTACTATCGGTTGATTGTACCATGCGTATAACCTTCGCACAAGTGCAACCGATAAGTTGACTAAGTTTTACCGTAATCTGATGAACGGTATGGTCATGGTCGTAGAAAGTACGAACAAACATAAATTTATATATAGTAGAAAATATTTTACTGTCTGTAGACAGACCTGCAGTTGATTAGAATAGGCGTTATTACAGCAGCTGATTTGTTTTTTTATAATACTAGAACTAAATGAACGGTTGGCAATAAATTATTTTAGAAATTATTTTTTTATTTTTATTTTGTGAAGTTAGTTTAATCTTAATAATTTCCTCCGAGTACAGAACCAGAGTACAAAACTAATCCAACTGTAGAGATGTGTAAGACAGGGTGACGTTATATCCCCGAAATATTTTACCGCTGTATTGGAAGACGTTTTCAAGCTACTGGACTGGAAAGGATACGGTATTAACGTCAATGGCGTGTACATAACTCATCTTCGATTTCCCGATAATATAGTCTTTATGGCAGAATCGCTGGAGGACCTACGCACTATGTTCAATGACCTCAATAGTGTCTCCCAACGGATAGGTCTCAAGATGAACATGGACAAAACAAAAGTCATCTGCAATGTCCATGTCACACCCATGCCGGTGGTTTTTGAGAGCACTTAGCTGAAGTTGTTGACGAGTATTTTTACTTGGGACAGATATAGGTCAATCGACGGACTCAACTCGGCTGGTCCGTTCAGCTTTCGGGAGATTGCAACACATCTTGTCGTCAGGAATACCTCAAAACTAGTTGTACAACCAGTGCGTGTTGCCAGTGATAACCTATGGATCTGGGACGAGGTCTTTCACTGCTGGCCGTATGAGGAAGCTCGAAGTCGCTCAGCAAGCTATGAAGAGAGCTATGCTCAGGGGTTCAAACTTAGGAATGGGGATATCTGCAACAGAACCAGAGAGACCGAAATCGACCAATGGATTAGTAAGCTGAAATGGCAATCGACCGGCTATATAGCTCGAAGAACCGAATACCGATGTGGAAAAAAAGTTCTCGAGTGGCAGCCTCGTACCGGCATGTGAAGTGTAGGACGTTTCCCCACTAGATGGAGTCAAAACCTGGTAAGACATGCAGGAAGTTGATGGATGCAGGTAGCTTAGGACCGTGTTTTGTGGCATTCCTTGGGTAAGGCCTATGTTCAGCAGTGGACTTGTGAAGGGTTTTAATGATGATGAATGACAACGGCATTATATTAATATGATACATAAATAGAATGAACGTTACGGGTAGAGTTCATCTGTCCATAGCGTCCATTCTATTTATTTAGGTACAGGTAGGGTGTAGAATTTTTATCGATATAATTTGGTACACTATCTCATCCCTATTATTAGTTCCGTGGACGTGCACTTCTGCTGTCAGCGCCAAAATGGCGGAAATCAAATCGCTTTATCATGTCACGGTGTATAGCCAGTCCAGCGTACTTGTATATATAGAGGTCTGTGGCCCGCGCGCTATTTAATCGCACAATATTTTTATTTGAAATTTCTTTTTTAAATTATATATACGCTTTTATTGAAAAATAAACCCATAATTCACTCACGTATTTACTGGTTTAACCTAAATTAATTTCATTATTACGAATGAAACAGCTTTTTCACTTAGTGGACGTACCTAAAATTGTAGATTTTGGGAAAACTTTGAGCTCTTCTTCTATCGAGCCAAAATATGTCAATCGTGTTTTGGCCAACATAATTCACCAAGAAAAATCTTTAACTTTCATAATGAATTTAAAAAAAAATGTGGATTCGTAGTTTTTAATGTAAAAAAATTGCTTTTCTGCGCACCTATAAAGCGCGAAAAATCTACTTTTGGCACCCACATTACCTAAAATTAGATTGTTCAGCGCGATTGCCATTCAATATATTTATTTAATTGATCTAGGATTTAAAACATAAAAGATTTTTAATATTGATATGGTCGCAATAAGATGCTGTTAGGTTAGATAGATAGATAGATAATTCTTTATTGTACACCAAATCAATACATAAACGAAAGAAGAAGAAAAAAAATAGTGTCACAATGGGCGATGTTATCGCTAAAGGCGATTTCTTCCAGACAACCTTAGGTTAGCTAATTACGTAATATAAGACAGGAGGATCCTTAAGTAGCGACTGTATAAATTAACGATTTGGTATTAGGTACATGGATCTCAGAACTTTTTAAAAGGTAGAACAATTGAGTTGCGAGACTTGGTTTTTTTTACGAGTAATGTTTTTGATGGCATTTCATTTATTTTTGTATATAGTCCTACTTTTTTCTTTCCAGTACGTTCTAAATACTAACAACGTCTATCTACACTTATTATTCTATTATATTATATACACATACGGGTACACTGATTCATTCACTGCAAATGTACCTAACTTTGTAATCCTGTATATTTATATAGGATTACAAAGTTAATTATGCGGTTGGTGTATCTAGAAAACTGGACCGAAATTGCAAAATATATTAGTTTTTCCTTAATTTATACACTACAAACTAATTGTATTCTAAATTTGAAGCTTCTATTTCTGCTAGAAGTGTCTTAGAGTTTTGATGATCGGTCAGTCAGTCAGTGAATGACAAAATTAAGAGACTTTGACTAGTTATAATTCTTAAACTACTAGTTCAAATTGATTGAAATTTGAAATATAACGTGTTTATACAATGCCTGCTTGGATACTGAAAATTCAGATTTCTAGTATTATCCACATCGAAGTTAGTAAGTAGGGGGGTCGAAAATGAACTGAACTGCTTCGAGAAAAGGATGGTACGGCCTATATTTCTGTTAATTGTTCTATATATTATAGAAAAATAATATAGTACGAAAAATACTATATTTTTATCCCAAATTCAACTGTCGCTTTGTTATATTAACTGTGATGGGAAGTCTGGAACAAGTATATTTTACGAAACTTTTTTTTTTCATCATGAATGTAAAATTGAGAGAAGAAGGAAAAATAGCATGTATTAATTGAATTCAAAATTTAATTTCAAAATTATTTTAATATGAGTCTATATTGCTCAAACTCCTATAATTATTTTAAAAGTAGGTACCTAGGAGGTATGGTGGTTAGACCACTGATAGCCAAAGCATAGAATAAATAATAGTACTACGTAGCCAAAGCAAGAAGCAATAACAAATATACCTATATGGAAAAATACTTTTAATGTGTACTTTTTCTACGGGATTTCTCAAAAGTGCTATATTTTTGCATCCTTTTTGGGAAAATATTATATTTGTTCCGTAGACAAAGATTTGTTCAAAAAAAAGGTGGCAACCTGCCTCTGCCACAGAATAAATAATAGTACCTACTACTAGCGGTGGGTAGTAGCGGCTTCTTTGAGTAACGAAACGAATCTATCTATCGAATATCAATAGCGGCTTTTGAAACACTCTATTTTAATAGAGGGTTTGGAAACACTCTATTTTAATAGCGGCTTCAATAGAGTGTTTCACGACGTGTTCAATTGCAAAACGTTGCGACCGTTGTTACCGTTTCGTATAGAATTAGACATGGTGTTAATGGTTAAATTTATTTATTTGTTAAATCAGTTCGCACGGTTTGATAAAAATATCACTTCGAAGTACACTGGCATTACTTCGAGATATTTTTGATAACAATCACATAAAGTTTTAGTATTATTTTTACACTTAGTTATTTACACTAATTACTGTACAATTATTATTATCAACACTAATATATACAATTATATTTAGTTCTTATTTTACTAAAAATATTATTATTGTTGCACAAAAAGGAAACAAACGCGCCTAAAAAGTAAAAACAAACCGTGTCATTAAACTTAAACAAAAGACTAATGTAAACCGGGCCAAGGCCACTTAAATTATGGTATTTGAACTATTTTTTGTTAAAAACATGTACACTTACTTTCTCATTTCTAATATCGCATCTATACGAAGGAAATAGAGTCATAGGTCAAATGCAAAAGCACACGCGCTCACTCGACTTTCGACAACCGGTGGTACTTCTACCACAGCGTAAAAAGTCGGTTTTTTTTTACTCATGTGCTTCTACTTCAACAGCCGAAGCCGTCGCCGACGCGTCGCGAAAATAGCCGAATAAACGTTTTGTTACTGATCGCTCGTTCGTGATTCGTGAAACGTGAATCGTGTTACTGAGTAAAACGTCTACTGTAATAGATAGTTTCGTTGCACTGCAATAACCCGCTACTCGCTATTGTGTGAATAGATAGTTTCAGTAACTAGTTACGTTTCGTAACGACCACTCCTACCTACTACTACTACGTACCTCTGCCTCGTGCTATGCGTCAACGTCAAGCCGTGACGATGTTTACCACGCTATAAGCCAATAAGAATAGTATAAAAATCGTCTAAGTTTAAACTGTGATAATAGGAACTTATCACAATATATTTAATTTGAACAAATATGTTTTTATGCTATTTTAGTATTTAGTCACTATTATTTATTCTGTGGTAAGTTAGTTTACTATGCACTGTATTCATATTTATTTTTACTTTTTAGTATAATTTACTTTTCATTTTTCTTATATAAATGTAAGGCTGGTATCCGTACACATACATTTGTATCTATATATATAGTCAGTAATCTATGGTATCTATATTTATCGCCATCTCAAACGGAATTAATTTATTTGGAACACTCGCCGCCATTTTGAAATGAACAACTGCGCAGTTGTATTGATCGACGCAAGCGTCACGTATATAAGGCGGCCATGACGTAAAACGCCTGTTCATTTTAAATTCGCCGTGGCGTGAAGCAGTAGTTGTGCAGTGTAGTGTGGCAGTGAGCAGCCTGTTCGGATCCAGGTGTGTAATATTGTATCATCCACAATATTTTAAGCCCTATTTATTAAAATGGGTTATGCTGTACCAGAAAAGTCTGTTGTTGATTTTTGTGAAAGTAAAACTGAATCCTTATCTAGTTGGGTTCGTCAAGTTAAATGTAAATCTATTAACGCTAAGACAAAGAGAAAGCGTGATCTGAGAATAATCGCCATTTTGAGTAATTCTTTGTTACGGGCGGAGAGTGAGCTTGTTACGAAACAAAGAGAACGTGCTAGAAGGTGGGCACAAATGCAAGCAGATCTTGGATTGTGCAATAAGGAAGAAGAAGTCGCAAGGCAGCAACAAGAAAAAATTGATAATTTATGGAAGAATGATCTCAGTGGCTTAGATAGTTTTTTCAGAGAATTAGATAATGTCAAACCAGTCCTAAATTATTAATTTAGGTAAAGTACAGTATTAGTATCTGTGATATTATGTAGGATGTTTTTCTAAATTACAGTCCCATTGCGTTTCGCGTGGGTCTGCATCCGACGGCCGCCATCTTGGTTGCCGCCTGGGGCGTGGCTGTGGCTACTACAAAATGGGTTTGTAACGGTATCAGACATATATAATTAGTTAATTTGTTATTTAATTGTAAATATTTCAATTTTCTACATTAAATAGTAAATTGGAATTTGTTTTATTCATATTGAATACAAAGAATTGTAACATATGTTTAAGTATGGAAATAAAAGAATGTTTAAAAAAGTTTCGCCTTACTGAATTTTATTTTGTTATAATGTAATTTCGTCCAACATGTATTATTCCATGAATCAACGCCATCTCTTCGTGAAGACATGCAGTTGTGATGCAGGCGAGTTACGCGTATAGAGCTGTCCGCGGGGACCTGCTGCTGCATATGCGAGGTCGCTGGGTGTCGCGGCGACTAACAAACCTGCCTCGTGCTATGCGTCGAGCACTCTAACCAGTGTCCCGGTTATCAGCCCACTAGGTAAAGTTAGGTGATTGCGTCATAATTTCGACACTAAAAAATCAGTAGGCCTGTGTACAGGCTATCGTGTGTGTGCCATTTCTTCTAAATCTCAGATCCATGATCTCACGACTGAAGCTGCCAGAGCAGACGGCGATCGAATTGAATTTGTCCTACTGTGCTGCCTTCGTCTTCCAACCAAGCACGTAACAATTGATCATATCTACATTGAGTAAACATGACGCAGCTATGGTGAGTCATTGTTATTCATGCAAAAGAAAACTAAGGCTAACAATGAATTTATATACTGAATTATTGAATATTGCAATTGTTGTGCAATAATATTCGATTCATACAGGTTTTGCCATTATTCCATATTGTATCAATAGATCTTAATGGAGGATATGTGTATATTATATACAATATGAGGAATATAATAGTCAACATGCGGGCTGCAGCATTACACAAATTTTTTCGATGCTGCAAAAACAGCGGTGATAAGCTAACTTCACAGGTGGAGATTATTTTGAAATAAGTACACTATACTACGATTATCTCTTATAACAAATTTATCAAAGAAAAATTAACCAACAAAATATAGCTTTGAATATGAATAATGAATGTGGAACATCATAATTGTGGGCTGATGTATTAATCCGGGACTATCAAAGGCATTGCGTAACTATTTATGATTTTAAACAACCCCATGTTGTAAAAAATATGGTAAAATTAAGCCTTATGAACAAAGCACTTATTACATATAATGGTAAGTAAATCAACTTCCAAACGTAGAACTAAAATACTGTTAAACGATGCTAGTTAATTTATTGAACAACAATTTAAGAAACTGATAATATGTATGTGTGCATTTCACAGCTAACACGGCGCAATTGACTTGCGATATCCAGGAACCTATTAACGTTCTAAATTAAACGAAAGCAATGTTGTGAAGCCTTTATGAGGAAGGTTTATACTGTTCCGGGACTCTGAATCGGACTATCGCCTTATACACAGATAAGTCATCCACCCAAGCACTCGTAAACATATACTTGATTATTAAGCCAAACATTGTCCATTAATGCTACGGAGGTATACTAATCTGTTTTCATGAAATTTAAATCTGACCCAAATATCTTCTGGATTAGCTTAGGTAAGTTGTCACTAAACCATCGATGCTTTAAAATCAAATTTGACCTTTTGCAATAAATAATATTAGTGTTTTATGTAACCACCGACTTCAACATATTAAGGTCTGAAATTAACAGCCCTGTAACTCTTATTTTTATTTTCAGATAGTTATGAATATTCGAATATGTAGTAAAAGTCGGTTAATATATGATCACAAGTAAAAACTTTGTCTTCCAAACTGATTCAAAGCAACTAAGTATAGTTAAGATGATGATGATATTCTGTAGTTATTTTGAAAATCAAATTCTGAAATTACTTTTAATATTTGGTGAACTAAAGCCACCTTCTGACTAAATTTATTACCTAATTATAAGCTACCATTCAAAATGCTATACGTCTAAATTGATGGGTAAGTAAAAATGAAATCAATTACTATGGAGACCTGAGATTTGAAGGCCTTTGGTTGGTATGTTAATGCTATTAAAACTTAAACCTACTCTATCCCCTACATAATAAATTCAATGCTCCTTATGAAATATTTAAGATTTAAAACAGGAAATTACTGATTTGCAAAGAAATTTATGAAAAGTATAATTAATCTAGCAAAGTAAATGGAGACCTGTATTACTTTTATAATGCAAAATGATTTTTTTTATAGTACAAGGGTGACGAATGAGCACACAGTCCACCTGCTGGTACTTGGATGAAGTGGCCCATTGACACCTACAATCTATTAACGATTAGAACCAAAATGTAGAGTCGTTTGTCCACCCCTGACGACTAAGATAAAATGCCTGGTTACCGGTATAAAGGGTATCCGGTTCTCTACACTTGCCATACAAAATGGTAGCATTAAGCTGCTGTTTTTATGATGTTATTCTGTGAGAGTGTTCCTTCTCCAGTCAAGCCAACCCATTCGCGGTAAAAGAATGTAGATGTAATTTATTTTCTGAAGTTATTTTTTTACTGTTATGATACTGGTGATGATCTCACTACAGCCCATCAGAAGTCTGCTGCTGAATATATAGGCCTTCCATAGAATGTTACAAACTTGGGCCGTGAGCAACCTGCATCCTGTGATCATGATGCGTTATTTATTAACTGCATAGCGTAACTATATTTTTATAACATATATGTAATATGTTGTGCATGAGTGTAAATTTGTAACATTTAATCCTTTCAGATTATCAAAGGAAAATAATGTTCAATGTTGATACACAGAAATGTAGTTAAAAACATCTATGGCACACAAAGTAGTTTATTTTAATATAGAAAATATGCAGAAATGGTACATTTAAATCCTTACCTCGTAATAATATTACAACTCTGAAATTTTATTCTATGGAATGGATCAGTCAAAATGTAATGTTTGTTCAATGATAACAGTCTTAATATTCTTTGATATAATGCACAATGTCAATGCTCAATATAGAAACGAATTGACGAAGGAGGGTACATGTGGAAATAATGCAAGTACACCAACGGGATGCCCACAACTGTCGCTTGAAAGTACGACCGCAGCGGCTGCGAAATATTCCAACGCGCGTGAGACTACTGCTGTATTGTTAGAAATTTCTGTTGCCATAGGGAAGCAGCGTTGATAAACTCGCCCGCTGCGGCCGTGTCACAGCTGACCTGCCTGCGCTCTATTGCTGCTGTAGTCTCGTCGCGTCATCTATGTCATAAGTACCTACACTTGACCACTACTCTTGCGATATAGTGCGTCCGGCGTTCGGTGGCTGTCTTCATAGTACACGCTGGCGTCCGACAGCTGCCACAGTGCAGATTGTCATTGCTGCATCACAGTACGGTGCAACATTCAACGACAGCTACATATCTGGTACAAGATTGCGCTTGGTATGGTCGCATTGCTGTTGCTGCAACATCTCGTAACGTCTGGCGTTGCGCCGTGTTGCAATACGCCCGATATACGACCGCTGTTGCCGACCAGAAATAACTGCAATGTGCGTCTGCTGCTACGCAATACCTAGGTAACATGTAATCGTAGCCTTCATATTTTAAGTAATGCCCTTAATTCATATCTTTCATTTTAGACTTTAAGATCAACTTACGAACTGCATCGCTTATCAGCGTTAAGTATATATTAAATATAATCTAAAATTAGGTAAGGCACCACCTGAACACAGACGGCAAATCTCATGGAGGTCGTATATCGTAACAGGTATTTATTTGGCCGCATCGTGTCGTTTTGAAATATTCTGGCGGGGTGACGTTACTATTTCACTGCTTCATGGAACATTCGAGGCTGAGGTACTTCATTCATCTCACAGATAGATGGAGTCTCAGGCTGAATCTTGCATTGTACTTTATGATGAACAAGAATATGACCTTTTAATGCACATAGTGAGTGAGATAAACTACTGTATCGAGATTGTAAGTCAAAATGATAAGCTCTGAAATGTCCCATTACCGGAGTGGAATTCAAAGATGGAAGATATAGAGTTAACTGTTCCTGCGGGCCTTGTTTTAACAGGTATTTAATTGAAAATTTTAATAATTAAACAAATCAACGAGAGAATATACGATAGTCATATAGCTTAAAGATAAGATTTATAAGAGCACGTCAACTTTCGAGTGTAAGTAAATTCAGATATAATTTTAAACTGATTCGTACGCTGCGGCACTCCACAAGAGCTGGCACGGCAGAATTCTGAAGTAAATAGCTGAACATAGTTCAACTAGTTCCGGAGTTGCTGTATTCCTGCATCTTCTAACATTCTTAAAAATACGGAGGCAAGTGAAAACTGCGATATTAATTTTGCTAATTAAGCATCAGCCATTGCTCTAGAAGTGGTAACTAGAAAAAAACGCACAAAGGGACTGAATACTACATGAGAGGTAACCGAATTTATAGATAGCCTTAACCGCTACGACACGGTAAATACCCTTACAATAATTTAAGTACAATTAATTTTACTTAATCGAACATCAAGCTATTTTGTAGCGGGACGATTAGATTACAATAAACACAAGTCTTCTGAAAACCTTAAAGTAAGTGAATGGTAGTGAACATATTCCTTTTTTAATTAAATAGACGTTTATAGAGTGTGCGGAGTAATAGAGAAATTTTTATGGGCTAATAGCTATCATGTAGGAATGCTAGTTTAAGCTGGATGTAGCCGATACTTCAGACGTCAGGTAATTTTATTCAGAAATAAATATGCCTTTGATTTGATTTGATACATGCATTGCATGATAAAAATGTAATCCATCCAGATGAAAATTTGTAGAATTAAAGTTAAATGCATTTGAGACCTAAACTTAACGCAGTAAAATAATTTTTTGGCACACTAAGCTCATTCTTGTAAACCCCTCAAGTTTCAGACTATTTGAGATTCTAAAAAATGGTGCTCCAAATGTTATGTAACTCTGTTAATAAAAACATTCAGCTCAAGTGAAATTCGATTGAAACAAAACAATAATTGTGAAATTTTAAATGATGAATTCGGAGACCAGAAGTTGATTAGAGTAATGGTTTATCACTCACATAGGTATTCATATAACTATTACACTGTCTTTATATTAATATAGTAAAATTTGAGGTTTCTATGGTTAGACTAAATATATAATACAACAAAGTTCTCTTTAATTTGACAATAAAATTTTTCATTTTCTGATATAATTCATAAGTTATAAAAAGTTTCTGCACTGGGCTTCGAGCCCTTGTTTTTCTTAATCTGCTAGTTTTATTTTCCCCAGGTGGTGACAACCGAAAAGTTATTTAGCGTTCTCTTTTGCTATAGATATATTTGCAAGTCGCTTATTCCATCGTTTAGACTGTGTGCCCTCTTAGCGTTACAGATGTCTTAATATTACAGAAACGATAAAATACCGTCAGCTGAGTTGGAACTTACAGATTCTACCCCACAGCGTAGAATAGGACTACGCGATATAAATTCCGTCTAAGAAAAAAACAGGTATTTGAAAAGTAGTTTAAAGAATTGACAATAATAAGTTAACACCTTTGCCATAAATAAAAGTAACATTTGTTGGTTCGAAGGAACCAAAAATGTTTAGTTTGTGTTTTTCAATGTACAGTGTATCATCACTGTAGCCACAACCTTAACCACGCTGCGAGTATTCGCCTGCTTTTGCCGGTTTTGCAACCTCTGATCTGCTTAGAATATCGGCGACCGTACCGCATGTGTGTTTGTAAGTCTTCGCCGAGGTTCGTTCTATGTTACCAGTTGCTGACGGTGCGATTAGCTAACGCTGACTTGCGAATGGAGGCTGTTGGATGTTTCCTACATGAGTGGATCGTGTTTGTTGCATTCGTCGTTGCCCACTGCCTCACTACTACACACACTGTCGCCTGCGCCTGTCTTGGCACACTTTCAATTTACCGTAGTTTCTCTAGAGGTAAGCTACTGATTCATAAGACGCAATAACAGTTATTTATCGTTCCTGTCATCACTTATCTGAAGTAGAATGTAAAATAACTGATACTATTAATTGACTTTACAGTACATAGCTATTTCAGTTTTTTTTTAGCAAAATTAAAGCCTTGGGAACTACAATCTTAATTCAGTTTCAAATATGCATCGAATATTCTCAATCTACTATCTATCAAAATTGTAGCATGAGATGTTAGATCGATGTGACTTCACTGCTTGTAAATATAACAAAATTTCATGTGATTTTCGAATGCATTAGACGCTTTAATAAAGAATTTGTTTGAAGTAATCATGACATTTTACTGGTGGGTGATTAAATGCGCCACATAGAAAATGTAGCCAGTCGGATTGCTGGATGCACCTTAACCGTCGTCGCTCAAACTTTCAGATTTGCACTATTGTAACACTTGTTTAGTTTAAATGTCTGCCTGTTTTATTTAATTGCATGATATTTGCAATTCCGTTGTGGCTTTATTTATAATATATTTGGGAATTAAGTGGTACCTAAATTTTGTTAAAGTTGCTGCACACTTAATGTAATAAATTTTATTTCAATATAGATCATAAAAAATAGAAATAAAATTAGAAAGAAATAGATTGAATAAAATTTGTATATAATATATTGATTTGACAATCTTATAAAATATTTTTAGTTCGATGATAATTGTTATGGGGCCCTAGGCCCTTTGTCTCTTTATTCTTCATTATTTTTCAGAGATCTTCAGTTCATGAATTAGAATTTATAGGTATCTACTATATTTATAGTAACGCACATAACAGTCGGGTATGTCAATAGAAGATCCTGAGTTGTACTGACAGTGGTATGTGGTATGCTGCTTAAAATCAAAACTAAAATTCTATACTTTTATCTACTTGAAAATTTAATTTTTCCTTTTTGTATATATTTATCTTGTATAGGGCATTCAGCCCGTTTCTCGTTATCAGGTCTTTAATTTTGCAGAGAAAGTGACTCAAGTTTCATTACCGGATTCAGCCAGTCTCATTCAGTTATATGGCGGCATCTCCCGACATGTGATGGCTGGTAATGCTAGAATTTATTAAACATGAAGTAATAATATATATTTGCGTAGATACGATTAATAAACTGACCATGATCCAATTTATTCCTGGGCTTCATGCCCTCCGTTTTTCTTAATCTGGAAGTTTAAACTTTACAGGTGGAGATAATCATAATGACTGGCCTCCTTTTACACACGTTGCGTTCGTTCTATAGAGATACTAGCAAGCTGCTTACAAATTAAAATTAGCTAAAAAATAAATAAAAGCTACATAAGTTGGATTAAATAAACAACTGCGCGATGTTGCAAATTTTAACCACTGCCATCGTAGCTTCTTTGCATCCGACTATATCCGATCCCAGGTATTGGCGATTCTGCACGTATTGTAAGTCGCCCCTAAATAAGCTTCACTTAAAAATAAATTACATAAAACTAATTATTTTGCAATGCAATAAAATTAATAAAACGAACATTAGTTGGTTCAACAGGACCAAAGTTGTTTAGATGTAAGTGTTCTTCAATGTACAGTGCGTTTGCTGACATCAATAAATGCGCGACGCGGCAGTCTTTTAACCTCTGCCATTGACGCATTTTGGCATCAATGTAGATCCAGTGCAGTAGTTGGCGACTTTTATTGCACTTTTCGTAAGTCTGACCCAATTTTGCTTCACATAGAAATAATTTTAAAACAAAACGAATTATTTTGCAATAAAATAAATAGAATCGACATTAGCTGGTTCAACAGAACCAAAAATGTTTAGTTGTAAGTGTTCTTCAGTGTACAGCACATCAACTATTTTACTGACCTCGATAAATGCGCGACGCGGCGGTGTTTCAACCTCTGCCATTGGCGCATTTTGGCATCTATACAGATCCGGTGCAGTAGTTGGCGACTTTTTTTGGACTTTTCGTAAGTCTGACCGAATTTTGCTTCACATAGAAATAATTTTAAAACAAAACGAATTATTTTGCAATAAAATAAATAGAATCCACATTAGCTGGTTCAACAGAACCAAAAATGTTTAGTTGTAAGTGTTCTTCAGTGTACAGCACATCAACTATTTTACTGACCTCGATAAATGCGCGACGCGGCGGTGTTTCAACCTCTGCCATTGGCGCATTTTGGCATCTATACAGATCCGGTGCAGTAGTTGGCGACTTTTTTGCACTTTTCGTAAGTCTGACCGAATTTTGCTTCACATAGAAATAATTTTAAAACAAAACGAATTATTTTGCAATAAAATAAATAGAATCCACATTAGCTGGTTCAACAGAACCAAAAATGTTTAGTTGTAAGTGTTCTTCAGTGTACAGTACATCAACTATTTTGCTAACCTCGATAAATGCGCGACGCGGCAGTGTTTTAACCTCTGCCATTGGCGCATTTTGGCATCAATACAGATCCGGTGCAGTAGTTGGCGACTTTTTTTGCACTTTTCGTAAGTCTGACCCAATTTTGCTTCAAATAGAAATTTTAAAACAAAACGAATTATTTTGCAATAAAATAAATAGAATCGACAATAGTTGGTTCAACAGAACCAAAAATGTTTACTTGTTTGTTTGTTGTGTAAGTGTTCTTCAGTGTACAGTACATCAACTATTTTGCTGACATCAATAACTGCGCGGTGCTGTGATTTTTCATTTCTGCCATTGTCGCTTCTTTGTATGTGACCAGATCTGATCTAGGTGTCTGCGACTTTTCTGCTTTAAGCGTAAGTCGCCCTAAATTTTCTCCGATTCAAAGTTTCAAAACAAGCCTTATTATTTTTCCAAAAAAATACATGACAATAAACATATGTTGGTTCCACGAAACAAAAAATGTTTAGTTGTAAGTGTTCTTTAGAATTCAGCAGATCATCAATAACTGCGCGGAGCTCCGAGTTATCATCTGTATCATTGTGGCTCCTAGGCATTTGACCAGATCCGATCGAGGTGTCCGTGACTTTTCTCCACGTTTCGTAAGTCTGCACCCAAAGTTGTTCTTTGTTGTCAGTTGCTGATGACGTATCCAAAGTACGCTGTCCTGCAAATGCGGCTATAGTTGTTAACAAGATCGTTGTTGCCCCTGCTTTATGTCGCGCCGCCCGTGTCGTCGCCTCCGGTGTCAGTCCTGATATTCAGCCACCATCGATTGTTTGGGTACTCCTAGAAGAGCTGCTCGTTCGTAAGCACAATTAATTACTAATACTACTAGATGCTATTATTTATTTTTATTTACAACTAATTACTTAATATCATTGACATCTAATAATATTTACAATTATAAAAAATATTTGACCATTTCTGCTAAGTCTTTGACAAATTAGTTATAAGTATGATAATAACACCATTGTAGTCATTGATATTACAAATAATGAGTAGCAAACGTCTCATTTACGACCTTATAATATAAACGTAACGCACTGCGTGTCGTATTCGTATGATAGTTTGTTGCAGCAGCCGTCTTAATACTTCTGGTAATCACATACTGCTGTAAGTTGCCTATGACTCATCCGCAAGTAATCTGTTTTGCCTCACGACATCGCTGCCGTCGGGCCGAACCCATAAACACGACACCGGTGCTGTTAATGCGGTCCACCATTACTACACCGTTACCGTCGAGGCGATCCCCTAAAACCGTCAGGCTTGACCACCGATGCCACGTACCACTGCCATCGGGGCTGGCTAATAACTACGCGCATCTGCCGTCGGAGCTTCCTGCGCTTTGTCACTACCGTCGGGGCTGCCGAGTAGCGCTGTGTCACTACCGTCGGGGCTGTCGAGCAGCGCTGTGTCACTACCGTCGGGGCTGTCGAGCAGCGCTGTGTCACTGCCGTCGGGGCTGTCGAGCAGCGCTGTGTCATTATCGTCGGGGTTGCCGAGCAACACTGTGTCACTTTCGTCGGGCGCCCGAGCAGCGCTGTGTCACTACCGTCGGGGCTGCCGAGCAGCGCTGTGTCACTACCGTCGGGTCTGCCGACCAACGCCGCGACCCTGCCGTCGGGTCTGCCGACCAACGCCGCGACCCTGCCGTCGGGGCTGCCGACCAACGCCGCGACCCGGCATTCAGGGCTGCCGACCGTCGCTGCGACCCTGCCGTTGGGGTTTGCGAATATCGAGGCGACCATACCATCGGGGCTGTCGAACACCGGTTGCGCCTGTCATGTTTAAGCTGCCCCCCAATTGCCCCGATTCTAAACGTCGGGGCTGCCGGACAATACCACAACCCTACCATCGGGGATTGCCGACCAACGCTGCGACCTTGTCGTCGGGGCTTTGGATCAACGCTACGACACTGCCGTTGGCGCTTCGCATCAACGCTGTGACACTGCCGTCGGGGTTTCGGATCATTGCCGTAAGCCTACAGTTAGGGCTGTCAAATAACGCCGCGACCATACCTTTGAGGCTGTCGAACAACGTTGCGCCTCTTGTCATGTTTTAGCTGTCCGCCAATGTCTATCCTCAGCATCGTGGCTGCCGGACAACGCCGCGACCCTGCCGTCTAAACTGCTGTACCACACCGCAACCCTACCATCGTGGCTTGTCGACCAACGCCGCGATCCTGCAGTCAGTGCTTCGCATTAACGCTGCGACACTGCCGTCGGGGCTTTCGATCATCGCCGCGACCCTGCCGTCGGGGCTTTGGACCATCTCCGCGACCCTGCCGTCGGGTGCGAGGCTGGCGATCAACGCCGCGAACCTGTCGTCGGGGCTGGCAATCAACGCCGAGACCCAGCCGTCGAGGCTGGCAATCAACGCCGCGACCCTGCTGTCGGAGCTGGCGATCAACGCCGCGACCCTGCTGTCGGGGCTGGCGATCAACGCCGCGACCCTGCCGTCGTGCCTGGCGATCAACGCTGCGACCCTGCCGTCGGGGTGGCGATCAACGGCGCGACCCTGCCGTCGAGGCTCATGATCAACGGCGCGACCCTGCCGTCGGGGCTGGCGATCAACACCGCGACCCTGCCGTCGGGGCTGACGATCAACGGCGCGATCCTTCCGTCGGGGCTGGCGATTAACGCTCCGACCCTGCCGTCGGGGCTGGCGATTAACGCCGCGACCCTGCGGTCGGGGCTGGCGATCAACGCCGCGACCCTGCCGTCGGGGCTGGCGATCAAGCGCGCGTGGTCCACGCGACCCTGCCGTCGGGGCTGGCGATCAATGCCGCGACCCTGCCGTCGGGGCTGGCGATCAACGCTGCGACCCTGCCGTCGGGGCTGGCGATCAACGCTGCGACCCTGCCGTCGTGGCTGGCGATCAACGCTGCGACCCTGCCGTCGGGGCTGGCGGTCAACGCCGCGACCCTGCCGTCGGGGCTGACGATCAATGGCGCGACCCTGCCGTCGGGGCTGGCGATCAACAGCCGCGACCCTGCCGTCGGGGCTGGCGATCAACGGCGCCGCGACCCTGCCGTCGGGGCTGGCGATCAACGGTTCCGCGCGACCCTGCTGTCGGGGCTGGCGATCAACGCCGCGACCCTGCCGTCGGGGCTTGCGGTGATCAACGCCGCGACCCTGCCGTCGGGGCTGGCGATCAACGCTGCGACCCTGCCGTCGAGGCTGGCGATCAACGCTGCGACCCTGCTGTCGGGGCTGGCGATCAACGCCGCGACCCTGCCGTCGGGGCTGGCGGTCACCGCCGCGACCCTGCCAGCCAACGCCGCGACCCTGCCGTCGGGGCTGCCAGCCACACGCCGCGACCCTGCCGTCGGGCTGCCAGCCAACGCCGCGACCCTGCCGTCGGGCTGCCAGCCAACGCCGCGACCCTGCCGTCGGGCTGCCAGCCAACGCCGCGACCCTGCCGGCGGGCTGCCAGCCAACGCCGCGACCCTGCCGGCGGGCTGCCAGCCAACGCCGCGACACTTCCGGCGGGCTGCCAGCCAACGCCGCGACACTGCCGTCGGGCTGCCGGTTAACGCCGGCACACTGCCGTCGGGTCTGGCGGTCAACGCCCCGACACTGCCGACGGGTCTGGCGGTCAACGCCGCGACACTGCCGTCGGGGCTTGTGGTCATCTCTGCGAAACTGCCGTCGGGCTGCTGGCCACCGACGGGGCTTCCAGCTTATGTCGCATTGTTGACCGTAACCTTCATGATCGCCGTTACTGCAATCGAGGTTGCCGTACGACGCCGCCATTCTGCTGTCGGCCAACGCCGCGACTGCCATCGAGGCTGTTTAACGCCGCGACCCTACCGTCCGGGCTGCCGACCAAAGTCGTGATCCTTCCGTCGAGGTTCCTCACCATCGCCGCGCTTTTGCCGGCGAGCTGCCGCGATCCTGCCATCGGGGCTGCCAGCCAACGCTGCGACCCTACCATCGAGGCTGTCAGTCGACGCCGCGACTCTGACGCCAAACTTCGTGAACGCTGCGACCCTGCTTTCGAAGTTGCCGTCATACCTGCCCACTTACTCGTCACCCTGTCGTCGGGGCTGCCGACCGATGCCGCGACCCGGTGTGGGGCTTCGAGATGGAGTTGGGTGTCGGGGCTTCCGACCAACGCCGTAATCCTGCAATCGGGGCTGCCGACTAACGCTGCGACCGTACCGAAAAACTTCGTGAACGCCACGACTTACCTAGAACTGCCCACTAACTCGTGAACCCCGGTCATCGGTGCACTCCAACAACTAAGCGCCTGTGATATCTGAGCTGGTATGTGCTGAATAGTTACCAAAATGTCAAAACTTTACTGTCGCCAGGTTAAGCCACGCGGTTTCAATGCTTAGGTACCGACTGGTTATAAACAATCTTCACTTGGTAACATACGAATTAATTGAGTTCCCGTCAATACGATGCAGCAGCTGCGTCACAGCCCGCGACACCATGGCACCCAATAATAACTGGTTAAGGCTGCTTATACAACAGCTAAACTCAATCCATCTAATGTGGACCACAACTAATATCTCATCAGCAACATTGTTTTGCTGACCCCCACTTACAGCAGTTGTTAAAACCATAACTACTTAATGGATATAGTTGCAACGTAAGTTTATATTTTAAGAAAGAAATATTTGTGTTTTAACGGTAGGTGATCTATTAAAACCATACGACGCGTGCGCCTATCATTGTTCGCAAATGCCTTGCGTAATAGATTATGTTACCTATTGATAAAATCTTCTTTAAATATTAAATTCAATTGTGTTGCACGTGTAATGGTAATTTTTTCAGAATCTACTGGCTAATGATTTAAATTTTAATACAGGTTACACTACGTTTAGTAACGCAAGTATCTTTCTTCGATGTTCTTTCTACTTATGTGTTCATTTCAGATGGCGGTAACCTTAAATTTTCTTTATATTTATTGATATAGTAAACGTGTTTGTTTAGTATACGTTATGTTTAAACAGTACTTATAATTTAATTATTACTTTTATGCTCTACTCAATTTATTTCAGCATAAATAACATTTTATTCTAGCGAAAACGCGTTCTACAAACACGGCGTACAGACGCGATGTTAGACATGTCTAAAATTAAAAAATAGGTAAACACAACACTACAATACGATTGTAACGAAATTCTAAAACTTAATGTAAAAAATATCGAAATGACATTTGCTTTAAAAAATATGCCCTCGAATTTTAAATATTCACTGCACAATATTTAACATTTAGAACAATCGTGGAATCAAACCAGGTCGAGGTCGAGAGTTCCTGATTTTCTTAAATGATTCTTAAAATAATCACATTTTTGTATTATTTACTTACTGTTAAATACATTTTCTGCTATGAATAAACCAATATTTCAGGACGTTCCAAAATGCCAAATGTTACTGTAAGACTTTTAAATCGATATAAAGCAACGGCCTAAAAGCATCAATCATAGACGATAAACTTACAGTTCATGAGAAATGTACAGGGTTCTGCAAAATATTGTTAATATGGACACAACACTTCTCTTGGTATTATGATTTAAAACGAAGGACCGAAATCGGTATTGCAAATTTGTTTTAAACATCGTCTGGTATGTATAAAAATATTACAGGAATGTTCCAAAATGTAGAATGATCACTGGGTGACTTTAAAGTTAATGAGTACAATAACAAAATGATGTATCTCATAATATTAATATAGAAATGCGGCCGTGAGAAATTACATATTCTTTATAAATAAAGCAAGGATAAAAACCAGATATCCGACACAAAAATGTCTAATATGAAAATATTAAAATTTCGTTTCGGGTATGTATAAGAAAATATTTCAGGGACATCGAAATTTCTTAAGTCATTTGATGACCCTAAATACATGAAAAACAATCAAGGGAGTATAACATTCAGCTGAACTGAGCCTCGATAATGGTATGTTGATATAATATGTACAAAAATGGACTGAAGGTGTAAAATGTGAAATTGTGATAAAATACAAAGGGAACTTACGAATTATATGATATGTATGTGTCAAAAGCTTGTAAAGTGGTTAAATGGTCAACAATATCTATATTTAATATTATTATATTATAACATAACAGTGGAGTGAGATGAATAAATTTTAAATGCGAGAATTTAATATAGTTATATTATGATCTGTCTTCTGTACATATATGAAATACTGAAAGTTCGTTTTCGGGTGCGTATAGAAAAATTTTCAGGGACATACGGAATTTCTAAAGAGATTTTCATGCATGAAGTGCACTCAAGGGATAATTTATATTCAGTTGAATTAGATTATTAAAAGTTCGAGATTATATAAAAGTGCTAAAGCTTGTGAATTGGCTATTTGGTGAGTGCTACCTAGTTTGCTCAAATATAACACAGGAGTGAGATGTATAAATTTTAGATGCGAGAATTTAAATATAATATGCTAAGACCCTTCTTCAGTGTATATATATGTAAAGCTTAAAAGCTAGTTTTTGGGTATGTATAAATAAATATTTCAGGAACATAGAAATTTCTAAACAGTCGTTAGGCGACTTTCATACATGAAGCGCAATAAAGGGATAAAACATTCTGTAACCAAACAAAGTTATATTCGAGTAAAATCATATATAGCCCTGTCCAATGCTGATGATAAAAATGTACTATAAAGATGAACTGAATGAGTACAATGTTAGTGTTACGAATCGAAATGACGAATTATTATAATATGCATTCTGTTCTAAATGCTTGTGAAGTAAGTGGTGAGTATGATATCTTGGTTTGTTTACATGGAATAGTACAGTGGAGTGAGATAAATTAGTTTTAAATGAGTAAATTTAAATATAATTCACTAAATATTTCATAGCAAGTAGGTAACACTAACATATCAGCTTCCATAATTGTTACTAATTGTTAAAAACTTACTACTTAATCAATATTTATTTAATTGTAGTGTACGAAAATATCACAAAAAATTTTTCTATTGTTTTACCGCATAGCTCCTTTCTTGCCTTTATAAATTCAGTAGGTTGCGCTAACTATTTTGTCAGCAGGAATTTGATTGTGGACAACAGAAATGTAAAGATATGGATTTGACGACTTCCTTGTAATAATGGGATATTTGAAAGTTTACTAAAAACTGCACATTAAGTTATATTATTCACTAAACAAAGGAAATTACGATCTGTTAAAAGGTCTAGAGTTAAACCAGTTTTTTTGCCTAAAAGTCTGAAATTTAAAGCTACTAATAATACTTCGATATACGACTCCAGGTTTAAAAAGTAGGTTTAAAAGGTAAATGTTTAGTCTATACATTTTTCACAGGTATTCAAAGATTTAAAAATCTAAGAAATATTAATACAATTTTTATACTCTTCATAAGGTAAAAAATAAACATCACTCTAAATGATTTTCATTTCATGTATGAGTAATTAATATTTATGTACTTTATTTTTTAATTTAGCATAGGATGTGTTAATTATTTTTGTGAACAGAACTCCGTAGAGTGGTAGACTAATCCTGAACGATTGGTTTTGTATCGAAACCTTTAATTAACAGAATATATCTGTTACCCAATAGACTCAAGGAAACACTTCGAAAATTTCTATTTAAAAAAAAAAACAAGTACCTAATAACATTAGGCTGCCGATATAATAATTAACGAAATTTAATTATTTGCATGAACTAATTCTTCTAAAAGGTAGGATGTGCGTGTATAATTTTTTTTCACAGATATGATAAGGCATTTTTAAAAGAGAAAGACAATGTCATAGTAAGAAAAATAATACAATGTTAACAAAGTAAATAAATAAGCAATATAGAAATGCATTCTATAACGACGAAATTGTCACACAAAATTCATAACGTTTCATATTTAATGATAAGTAGTTGTTACCTATATTATATTTAAAGGCAAAACGTGCTGAATATGAGGTATGCAAACAAAATTAAGCTGAAAACAATAGACTACACTTAAGTATTATGGAGGAAAAAAAGAGAAAAGTCATGTTAAAAAGAAAAACAGAAGTAAAATACTAAACACAATGCAGGCTAAACTAAAAAAAAATAATTAAAAGGACTAAAAACTAAGAAGTGGAGAAAACGAATGCGAACAAATCTGTGTAGAAGTCAGTGTCTGATGACAGAGTGAATTAGACGAAGATTAAGGACCTAGTCTAGAAGACTACTAATGAGTCACGGAGAAGACAAAAAATGAAGGCCGTATGAAGAAGACTCATATTGAAAACCTAGTGAACAAGAAAAAGACTAATAACTGAAACTGAATACTCCACGGCGAAGTCGTAGACTGAAGACCCAGCGGCGAAGACAGCGACGAACCAGCGGCAAAGACTAAGTTAGAAGACTCGAAGGAGAGGACGAAGACCGAAGATCCGAAGAAAAAGACAAAGAACCAAAGGAGAAGACGAAGACAAGACCCAATGAAGAAGAAGACAAGACCTAAAAGAGAAGACGAAGTACCTGAAGGAGAAGACGAACACCAGAAGGAGAAGACCATAGACGAGGACCCGAATGAGAAGACGAAGTTCGAAGAGGCGAAGGAGACGACGAAGTTCGAAGACGCGAAAGAGACGACGAAGTTCGAAGACGCGAAGGAGACGACGAAGTTCGAAGACGCGAAGGAGACGACGAAGTTCGAAGACGCGAAGGAGACGACGATGACAGAAGACACGAAGGAGAAGACGAAGACTGAAGACACGAAGGAGAAGACGAAGACTGAAGACACGAAGGAGAAGACGAAGACTGAAGACACGAAGAGAGAAGACGAAGACTGAAGACACGAAGAGGAGAAGACGAAGACTGAAGACACGAAGAGGAGAAGACGAAGACTGAAGACACGAAGAGGAGAAGACGAAGACTGAAGGCGCGAAGAGGAGAAGACGAAGACTGAAGGCACGAAGAGGAGAAGACGAAGACTGAAGACACGACGAGGAGAAGACGAAGACTGAAGGCACGAAGAGGAGAAGAAGAAGACTGAAGACACGAAGAGGAGAAGACGAAGACTGAAGACACGAAGAGGAGAAGACGAAGACTGAAGACACGAAGAGGAGAAGACGAAGACTGAAGACACGAAGAGAGAGAAGACGAAGACTGAAGACCCGAAGGAGAAGACGAAGACTGAAGACATAAAAAATCTTAGATAGATCGCAAAGACAAAAAGGTGATGCATGAAAACGAAAAGTAACGAAATGAGAAGACATTCGGATGAAGACCGAAAACTAAACTAAGATAGCTGGAGTTAGACTACAAAGGATGAAAACGAAGACGAAATCTAAAGTCGTACGCGATACCTAAAGATCTAAAACGATGTCAAAAGACCGATGGGCCTAAAAACCAAACGCGACGCTAAAGGACTAAAAACGATGCCAAAAGACAGAAAACTAAGCCTGAATCCCGATGACGAAGTTTAAAGCTCCAAGAAAAAGCCTAAAGACGGAAGACGAACCCTAAAGGCCGATGATGAACCCTAAAGACCGATGACGAACCCTAAAGACCAAAGACGAAGCCTGAGGATCGAAGACGAAGCCTGAAGATCGAAGACGAAGCCTGAAGATCGAAGACGAAGCCTGAAGATCGAAGACGAAGCCTGAAGATCGAAGACGAAGCCTGAAGATCGAAGACGAAGCCTGAAGATCGAAGACGAAGCCTGAAGATCGAAGACGAAGCCTGAAGATCGAAGACGAAGCCTGACGATCGAGACAGAAGCGTGAAGGACCAAGACGAAGCCTGAGGATCGAAGACGAAGCCTGAAGGACGAAGACGGAACCTGAAGATCGAAGACGAAGCCTGAAGATCGAGACGGACGAAGCCTAAAGCTCGAAGACGAAGCCTGAAGATCGAAGACGAAGCCTGAAGATCGAAGACGAAGCCTGAAGATCGAAGACGAAGCCTGAAGATCGAAGACGAAGCCTGAAGATCGAAGACGAAGCCTGATGATCTATATATTAAACGAAGCCTAAAGACTAGAGAGGCATATACCATACGAACCTAAAGGCTAAAGGGGAATATATTATACGAAGCCTAAAGACTAAGGAGGCCTATATTAAACGAAGTCTAAAGACAAAAGAGGAATATGTATATTAAAGCCAAAGACCAAAAACGCCGCAAAGAATGAATTGATCCAACGAAATCTAGAGCAAAAAATACAGAATATAATTTTTTATTTATAAACAACTAAGACAGTTGATTCAGATAAAGTTGGAAACTACACCCATGACTCTTAAGTATGTTAGTTTTTATTTAAAACCGTTGAATTATTTTTAAATGTTATATGGAAAATAAATTGCATGTTTTTTTTTCAGGTTAAATTATTCAAACGGCGATCTCTTCACCAGCTTATATCCGTATCGTTTTTCGATGACAAACCTAATGAGAAGATGCAACCAAACAAAAGTGATTTTAACATGAAAATATGAATCAACTCGACACAAATACAATGTCGGCGATATCCATGATGCATTAAATTTTTTTAATAATTTTCAAATAACTGAATTTTATTTTCTCATAATGTAATTTCGCCAACCATATAATTTTCATGAGTAAGCGCCATTCTTCGTGAAGACGTGCAGTTGTGATGCAGTCGAGTTACTCGTGAAGAGCTGTCCGCGGGGACTCTACTACTGCTACAGATGAGAGGTAGTTGGGCGTCGCGGCGACTTACAAACCTGCATCGTGCTATGCGTCCGAGCACTTTCCGGATTCCCGGTTATCAGCCCAATAGGTAAAGCTAGGTGATTGCGTCATTACTTTGACACTTAAAAAAATCAGTATGCCTGTGTAGACAATCATGTGTGTGCTTTACTTTTAAATCCCAGATAAACGATCTCACGACTGATGCTGCCCGAACAGACTGCTATCGAAATGAATTTGTTACTGTGCTGCCTTTAACTTTCAACCAAGGACAAACGTAGTTGCTCGGCAAGGAGGGCGTTGGCTGCATTTGTGTACATAACACCAAGTCAATTATCGATGTTTACTCAATGCAGATATATATATTAAGTAAACCTGACGAAATGCTTACGTAACTATGTATATGTACCTTTCAAACAATCTCATGTAATGACGAAAAATGACATCTTACCTAAGCCTTACGAAAAAGGGACTTATTATAATGGTAAGTAAGCCAACATCCAAATGTAGGTTTAAAAGGTATACTGTTAAACAATACTAGAACTGATGTGTTCATTTCACAGCTAACACGGCGCGTTTGACTTGCGATGTCCGAGTTAACTTTCTTAAATTAAACGAAAGCAATGTTGATACCTTTACGAGGAAGGTAAATTTTCCGGCACTCTAAATCATCGGACTATCACCTTTTACATCCATCCCCACGCTCGTAAATATATACTTGATTATTAAGCCAAACATTAATTTAAATCTTACCCAAATATCTTTTGGATTAGCTTAGGTAAGTTGTCACTAAACCAAATTTGACCTTTTGCAATAAATAATAAGGTGTTTTATGTAACCACCGACATTATTATTATATCAACGTAAATTATAAGACCTGAAATTAACGGCCCTTTAACCCTTATTTTTATTTTTAGATCGTTATTATTTTAATAATTCGAACAAGTAACTACCTAATTAAAAACTACAATTTAAAAAACATGGAATGCTATATTGAAATCTGTATGCTGCTAAGTTTATTGAAAGTGATAGGTAAAAAGTACCTAAATTTAAATAGATATGAATTAATTAATATGGAGACCTTAGATTTGAAGCCCTTTGGTTGGTATGTTGTGCTATTAAAACTTATGTCTCGTACATAAAACATTAAATAACCTTTTTCAAAGAAAAGATTTGAAAAGTTTAATTAATCTATCTAAATAAATGGAGGCCTATATTACTTTTATAATTAAAGCAAATTGATATTTTTTTGTATAACAAGGGAGACAAACGAGCACACTGTCCACCTGCTGCTGGTGATGGATGAAGTGGCCCATTGACACCTACAATCTATTAACGATTAGGAATCAAAATGTAGAGTCGTTTGTCCACTCCTGAAGACTAAGATAAAATGCCTGGTTACCGGTATAAAGGGTATCCGATTCTCTACACTTGCCATACAAAACAGTAGCATTAAGCTGCTGTTTTACGCTGTTATTCCGTGAAAGCGTTCCTTCGGGCAAGCCAACCTATTCGCGGTGTAAGAATGTAAGCGCGAAATGGAATTATTTCACAAGACCACTTTGTTTTCAAAAAAAATATGTAGTTTATTTTCTGAAGAGTTTTATTTTACTGTTATTGTTTTACTGGTGATGATCTCACTACAGCCCATCACAAGTCCGCTGCTGAATATATTTGACCTCCCATAGACTGTTACAAGGTAGGGCCCTGAGCAACCTGCATCCTGTGATGATCATGATGATGCTTTATTTACTAACTGCAAAGCGTAACTATATTTTTATAACGTATATATAATGTGATGTGCATGAGTGTAAATTGGTAACATTTATCCTTTCAGATTATCAAAGGAAAATGTTAAATGTTGTTGGTACACAGAAATGTGGTTAAAAATATGTACGACACACAAAATAGTATATTTTAATATAGAAAATATGCAGAAAATGGTACATTTAAATCAAACTTAACCTCGTAATGAATATTACAACTCTGAAATTTTATTCTATGAAATGGATTAGTCAAAATGTATGTTTGTTCAATGATAATCACTGCATTATATCAAAGAGTATAACGACTACGTCAATGCTCAACATAGAAACAAATTGAAGAAGGATACATATGGAAATATTGCAAGTACACCACAAACTGTCGTTGAAAGTATGACCGCAGCGGCTGCGAAATATTCCAACACGCGTGAGACTACTGCTGTACTGTTAGAAATTTCTGTTGCCATAGGGAAGCAGCATTGATAAACTCGCCCGCTGCGGCCGTGTCACAGCTGACCTGCCTGCGCTCTATTGCTGCTGTAGTCTCGTCGCGTCATCTATGTCATAAGTACCTACACTTGACCACTACTCTTGCGATATAGTGCGTCCGGCGTTCGGTGGCTGTCTTCATAGTACACGCTGGCGTCCGACAGCTGCCACAGTGCAGATTGTCATTGCTGCATCACAGTACGGTGCAACATTCAACGACAGCTACATATCTGGTACAAGATTGCGCTTGGTATGGTCGCATTGCTGTTGCTGCAACATCTCGTAACGTCTGGCGTTGCGCCGTGTTGCAATACGCCCGATATACGACCGCTGTTGCCGACCAGAAATAACTGCAATGTGCGTCTGCTGCTACGCAATACCTAGGTAACATGTAATCGTAGCCTTCATATTTTAAGTAATGCCCTTAATTCATATCTTTCATTTTAGACTTTAAGATCAACTTACGAACTGCATCGCTTATTAGCGTTAGTATATATTAAATATAATCTAAAATTAGGTAAGGCACCACCTGAACACAGATGGCAAATGTCATGGAGGTCGTATATCGTAACAGGTATTTATTTGGCCGCATCGTGTCGTTTTGAAATATTCTGGCGGGGTGACGTTACTATTTCACTGCTTCATGGAACATTCGAGGCTGAGGTACTTCATTCATCTCACAGATAGATGGAGTCTCAGGCTGAATCTTGCATTGTACTTTACGATGAACAAGAATATGACCTTTTAATGCACATAGTGAGTGAGATAAACTACTGTATCGAGATTGTAAGTCAAAATGATATGCTCTTAAATGTCTCATTACCGGAGTGGAATTCAAAGATGGAACATATAGAGTTAACCGTTCCTGCGGGCCTTGTTTTAACAGGTATTTAATTGAAAATTTTAATAATTAAACAAATCAACGAAAGAATATACGATAGTCATATAGCTTAAAGATAAGATTTATAAGAGCACGTCAACTTTCGAGTGTAAGTAAATTCAGATATAATTTTAAACTGATTCGTACGCTGCGGCACTCCACAAGAGCTGGCACGGCAGAATTCTGAAGTAAATAGCTGAACATAGTTCAACTAGTTCCGGAGTTGCTGTATTCCTGCATCTTCTAACATTCTTAAAAATACGGAGGCAAGTGAAAACTGCGACATTAATTTTGCTAATTAAGCATCAGCCATTGCTCTAGAAGTGGTAACTAGAAAAAAACGCACAAAGGGACTGAATACTACATGAGAGGTAACCGAATTTATAGATAGCCTTCACCGCTACGACACGGTAAATACCATTGCAATAATTTAAGTACAATTAATTTTACTTAATTGAACATCAAGCTATTTTGTAGCGGGACGATTAGATTACAATAAACACAAGTCTTCTGAAAACCTTAAAGTAAGTGAATGGTAGTGAACATATTCCTTTTTTAATTAAATAGACGTTTATAGAGTGTGCGGAGTAATAGAGAAATTTTTATGGGCTAATAGCTATCATGTAGGAATGCTAGTTTAAGCTGGATGTAGCCGATACTTCAGACGTTTTTTTTATTTTTTTTTTTTTTATTTTTTGATAAAAAAAAAAAATTCATCAATTATAAAAAAATATATTTTGGATCCAACAAAAATAAAAAAAAAATTTTTTACACCCTTTTTTCCCCCACTTTTTTTTTTTTTAGGTCCTCATTTTTTAAAATCGTATATTTAAAAAATTATTAAATGGGGGCCAAAAGTATAGAGATGTTTTTAATCACAGGTATTAACTATACACTGTCTTTATATTATATAGTAAAATTTGAGATTTCTATGGTTAGACTAAATATATAATACAACAAAGTTCTCTTTAATTTGACAATAAAATTTTTCATTTTCTGATATAATTCATAAGTTATAAAAAGTTTCTGCACTGGGCTTCGAGCCCTTGTTTTTCTTAATCTGCTAGTTTTATTTTCCCCAGGTGGTGACAACCGAAAAGTTATTTAGCATTCTCTTTTTCTATAGATATATTTGCAAGTCGCTTATTCCATCGTTTAGACTGTGTGCCCGCTTAGCGTTACAGATGTCTTAATATTACAGAAACGATAAAATACCGTCAGCTGAGTTGGAACTTACAGATTCTACCCCACAGCGTAGAATAGGACTACGCGATATAAATTCCGTCTAAGAAAAAAATAGGTATTTGAAAAGTAGTTTAAAGAATTGAAAATAATAAGTTAAAACCTTTGCCATAAATAAAAGTAACATTTGTTGGTTCGAAGGAACCAAAAATGTTTAGTTTGTGTTTTTCAATGTACAATGTATCATCACTGTAGCCACAACCTTAACCACGCTGCGAGTATTCGCCTGCTTTTGCCGGTTTTGCAACCTCGGATCTGCTTAGAATATCGGCGACCGTACCGCATGTGTGTTTGTAAGTCTTCGCCGAGGTTCGTTCTATGTTACCAGTTGCTGACGGTGCGATTAGCTAACGCTGACTTGCGAATGGAGGCTGTTGGATGTTTCCTACATGAGTGGATCGTGTTTGTTGCATTCGTCGTTGCCCACTGCCTCACTACTACACACACTGTCGCCTGCGCCTGTCTTGGCACACTTTCAATTTACCGTAGTTTCTCTAGAGGTAAGCTACTGATTCATAAGACGCAATAACAGTTATTTATCGTTCCTGTCATCACTTATCTGAAGTAGAATGTAAAATAACTGATACTATTAATTGACTTTACAGTACATAGCTATTGCAGTTTTTTTTTAGCAAAATTAAAGCCTTGGGAACTACAATCTTAATTCAGTTTCAAATATGCATCGAATATTCTCAATCTACTATCTATCAAAATGGTAGCATGAGATGTTAGATCGATGTGACTATTCACTGCTTGTAAATATAACAAAATTTCATGTGATTTTCGAACGCATTAGACGCTTTAATAAAGAATTTGTTTGAAGTAATCATGACATTTTACTGGTGGGTGATTAAATGCGCCACATAGAAAATGTAGCCAGTCGGATTGCTGGATGCACCTTAACCGTCGTCGCTCAAACTTTCAGATTTGCACTATTGTAACACTTGTTTAGTTTAAATGTCTGCCTGTTTTATTTAATTGCATGATATTTGCAATTCCGTTGTGGCTTTATTTATAACATATTTGGGAATTAAGTGGTACCTAAATTCTGTTAAAGTTGCTGCACACTTAATGTAATAAATTTTATTTCAATATAGATCGTAAAAAATAGAAATAAAATTAGAAAGAAATAGATTGAATAAAATTTGTATATAATATATTGATTTGACAATCTTATAAAATATTTTTAGTTCGATGATAATTATTATGGGGCCTAGGCCCTTTGTCTCTTTATTCTTCATTATTTTTCAGAGATCTTCAGTTCATGAATTAGAATTTATAGGTATCTACTATATTTATAGTAACGCACATAACAGTCGGGTATGTCAATAGAAGATCCTGAGTTGTACTGACGGTGGTATGTGGTATGCTGCTTAAAATCAAAACTAAAATTCTATACTTTTATCTACTTGAAAATTTAATTTTTCCTTTTTGTATATATTTATCTTGTATAGGGCATTCAGCCCGTTTCTCGTTATCAGGTCTTTAATTTTGCAGAGAAAGTGACTCAAGTTTCATTACCGGATTCAGCCAGTCTCATTCAGTTATATGGCGGCATCTCCCGACATGTGATGGCTGGTAATGCTAGAATTTATTAAACATGAAGTAATAATATATATTTGCGTAGATACGATTAATAAACTGACCAACAATAATAATTTATTCCTGGGCTTCATGCCCTCCGTTTTTCTTAATCTGGAAGTTTAAACTTTACAGGTGGAGATAATCATAATGACTGGCCTCCTTTTACACACGTTGCGTTCGTTCTATAGAGATACTAGCAAGCTGCTTACAAATTAAAATTAGCTAAAAAATAAATAAAAGCTACATAAGTTGGATTAAATAAACAACTGCGCGATGTTGCAAATTTTAACCACTGCCATCGTAGCTTCTTTGCATCCGACTATATCCGATCCCAGGTATTGGCGATTCTGCACGTATTGTAAGTCGCCCCTAAATAAGCTTCACTTAAAAATAAATTACATAAAACTAATTATTTTGCAATGCAATAAAATTAATAAAACGAACATTAGTTGGTTCAACAGGACCAAAGTTGTTTAGATGTAAGTGTTCTTCAATGTACAGTGCGTTTGCTGACATCAATAAATGCGCGACGCGGCAGTCTTTTAACCTGTGCCATTGATGCTCTTTGGCATCAATGTAGATCCGGTGCAGTAGTTGGCGACTTTTACATACAAATAATTTTAAAACAAAACTAATTATTTTGCAATAAAATAAATAGAATCGACATTAGCTGGTTCAACAGGAACAAAGTTGTTTAGATGTAAGTGTTCTTCAGTGTACAGTACGTCAACTTTACTGACATCGATAAATGCGCGACGCGGCGGTGTTTTAACCTCTGCCATTGGCGCATTTTGGCATCAATGTAGATCCGGTGCAGTAGTTGGCGACTTTTTTTGCACTTTTCGTAAGTCTGACCGAATTTTGCTTCACATAGAAATAATTTTAAAACTAAACGAATTATTTTGCAATAAAATAAATAGAATCGACATTAGCTGGTTTAACAGAACCAAAAATGTTTAGTTGTAAGTGTTCTTCAGTGTACAGTACATCAAATATTTTGCTGACCTCGATAAATGCGCGACGCGGCGGTGTTTTAACCTCTGCCATTGGCGAATTTTGGCATCTATACAGATCCGGTGCAGTAGTTGGCGACTTTTTTTGCACTTTTCGTAAGTCTGACCGAATTTTGCTTCACATAGAAATAATTTTAAAACAAAACGAATTATTTTGCAATAAAATAAATAGAATCCACATTAGCTGGTTCAACAGAACCAAAAATGTTTAGTTGTAAGTGTTCTTCAGTGTACAGTACATCAACTATTTTCCTAACCTCGATAAATGCGCGACGCGGCGGTGTTTTAACCTCTGCCATTGGCGCATTTTGGCATCAATACAGATCCGGTGCAGTAGTTGGCGACTTTTTTGCACTTTTCGTAAGTCTGACCCAATTTTGCTTCAAATTTTAAACAAAACGAATTATTTTGCAATAAAATAAATAGAATCGACAATAGTTGGTTCAACAGAACCAAAAATGTTTACTTGTAAGTGTTCTTCAGTGTACAGTACATCAACTATTTTGCTGACATCAATAACTGCGCGGTGCTGTGATTTTCCATTTCTGCCATTGTCGCTTCTTTGTATGTGACCAGATCTGATCTAGGTGTCTGCGACTTTTCTGCTTTAAGCGTAAGTCGCCCTAAATTTTCTCCGATTCAAAGTTTCAAAACAAGCCTTATTATTTTTCCAAAAAAATACATGACAATAAACATATGTTGGTTCCACGAAACAATGTCCATGAAACATGTTTAGTTGTAAGTGTTCTTTAGAATTCAGCAGATCATCAATAACTGCGCGGAGCTCCGAGTTATCATCTTCTAGTAATCACATACTGCTGTAAGTTGCAAATGACTCACGCTCCGCAATATCTGTTTTGCCTCACGACATCGCTGCCGTCGGGCCGGACCCATAAACACGACGCCGGTGCTGTTAATGCGGTCCACCAATACTACACCGTTACCGTCGAGGCGATCCACTAAAACCGTCAGAGCTATTTTTATTTTTGACCACCGATGCCACGTACCACTGCCATCGGGGCTGGCTAATAACTACGCGCATTTGCCGTCGGAGCTTCCTACCAACTTCGTGTCTCTGCCGTTAGGGCTGAACACAAACGCCGTGAACATGCCGTTGGGGCTGCCGTGCAGTTATTGGCTTTCTGCCGTCAGTGCTTCGCTCCAATAATTTGTCGCTGCGGTCAAACGATGCGCATCTTTGTTGCGCTGCATCGCTGTCCGTCGGGCGACAAACACGCGCCTTGTTCATCCGGGCTCCCACCATCCTTGCGATCCCCACCGTCAGGGTTGTAACACCGGGGGCTGCCGAGCAGCGCTACGACACTACCTTCGGGGCTGCCGAGTAACCGCGATGTGTTACTTTCGTCGGGGCTGCCGAGCAGCGCTTTGTCACTACCGTCGGGGCTGCCGAGTAGCGCTGTGTCACTTCCGTCGGGGCTGCCGAGCAGCGCTTTGTCACTACCGTCGGGGCTGCCGAGTAGCGCTGTGTCACTACCGTCGGGGCTGTCGAGCAGCGCTGTGTCATTACCGTCGGGGCTGCCGAGCAACGCTGTGTCACTTTCGTCGGGGATGCCGAGCAGCGCTGTGTCACTACCGTCGGGGCTGCCGAGCAGCGCTGTGTCACTACCGTCGAGGCTGCCGAGCAGCGCTGTGTCACTACCGTCGGGGCTGCCGAGCAGCGCTGTGTCACTACCGTCGAGGTTGCCGAGCAGCGCTGTGTCACTACCGTCGGAGCTGTCGAGAAGCGCTGTGTCACTACCGTCGGGGCTTGCCGAGCAGCGCCGTGTCACTATCGTCGGGGCTGCCGAGCAGCGCTGAGTCTCTACCGTCGGGCTGCCGAGCAGCGCTATGTCACTACCGTCGGGGCTGCCGACCAACGTCGCGAACCTGCTGTCGGGGCTGCCGACCAACGCCGCGACCCTGCCGTCGGGGCTGCCGGCCAACGCCGCGACCCTGCCGTCGGGGCTGCTGACCAACGCCGTGACCCTGCCGTCTGGGCTGCCGACTAACTCCGCGACCCTGCCGTCGGGTCTGCCGACCAACGCCGCGACCCTGCCGTCGGGACTGCCGACCAACGCCACGACCCGGCATTCAGAGCTGCCGGCCGTCGCTGCGACCCTGCCGTTGGGGTTTGCGAATATCGACGCGACCATACCATCGGGGCTGTCGAACACTGGTTGCGCCTGTCATGTTTTAGCTGCCCCCCAACGCCCCGATTCTAAACGTCGGGGCTGCCGGACAATACCACAACCCGACCATCGGGGCTTGTCGACCAACGCAGCGACCTTGTCGTCGAGGCTTTGGATCAACGCTACGACACTGCCGTTGGCGCTTCGCATCAACGCTGTGACACTGCCGTCGGGGTTTCGGATCATTGCCGTAAGCCTACTGTTAGGGCTGTCAAATAACGCCGCGACCATACCTTCGAGGCTGTCGAACAACGTTGCGCCTCTTGTCATGTTTTAGCTGTCCGCCAATGTTTATCCTCTGCGTCGTGGCTGCCGGACAACGCCGCGACCCTGCCGTCGAAGCTGCTGTACCACACCGCAACCCTACCATCGGGGCTTGTCGACCAACGCCGCGATCCTGCCGTCAGTGCTTCGCATCAACGCTGCGACACTGCCGTCGGGGCTTGCGATCAACACCGCGACCCTGCCGTCGGGGCTGGCGGTCAAAGCCGCGACCTTGCCGTCGAGGCCGGCGATCAACGCCGCGAACCTGTCGTCGGGGCTGGCGATCAACGCCGCGACCCAGCCGTCTGGGCTGGCGATCAACGCCGCGACCCTGTCATCGGGGCTGGCAATCAACGCCGCCACCCAGCCGTTGGGGCTAGCGATCAACGCCGCGACCCTGCCGTCGGGGCTGGCGATCAACGCCGCGACCCTGCCGTCGGGGCTGGCGATCAACGCTGCGACCCTGCCGTCGGGGCTGGAAATCAACGCTACGACCCAGCCGTCGGGGCTGGCGATCAACGCCGCGACCCTGCCGTCGGGGCTGACGATCAACGCCGCGACCCTGCCGTCGGGGCTGACGATCAATGGTGCAACCCTGCCATTGGGGCTGGCGATCGACGCCGCGACCCTGCCGTCGGGCTGCCAGCTCAACGCCGCGACCCTGCCGTCGGACTGCAAGCCAACGCCGTGACCCTGCCGTCGGGCTGCCAGCCAACGCCGCGACCCTGCCGTCGGGCTGCTAGCCAACGCTGCGACCCTGCCGTCGGGCTGCCAGCCAACGCCGTGTGCCGGTGGGCTGCCAGCCAATGCCGCGACACTGCCGGCGGGCTGCCAGCCAACGTCGCGACACTGCCGTCGGGCTGCCAGTTAACGCCACGACACTGCCGTCGGGATTGCCGGCCAATGCCGCGAAACTGCCATCGGGGCTGCTGGACAACGCCGCGCCATTGCCGTCGGGACTGCCGGCCTATTCCACGAAACAGCCATTGGGGCTGCCGGACAACGCCGCGACTCTGCCGTCGGGCTGCCAGCCAACGCCGCGACCTTGTCGTCGGGGTGCCAGCCAACGCCGCGACCCTGTCGTCGGGCTGCCAGCAAACGCCGCGACCCTGCCGTCGGGCAGCCAGCCAACGCCGCGACCCTGCCGTCGGGCAGCCAGCCAACGCCGCGACCCCGCCGGCGGAGGGCAGCCAACGTCGCGACACTGCCGTCGGGTCTGGCGGTCAACGTCACGACACCGCCGTCGGGTCTGGCGGTCAACGCTGCGACACTGCCGTCGAGGCTGGTGGTCATCTCCGCGAAACTGCCGTCGGGCTGCTGGCCAACGACGGGGCTGCCAGCTAATGCCGCGACACTGACGCCAAACTTCGTGAACGCCGCGACCCTGTTTTCGAAGTTGCCGTCATACCTGCCCACTAACTCGTCACCCTGTCGTCGGGGCTGCCGACCGATGCCGCGACCCGGTCGTCGGGGCTTCCGACCAAAGCCGTAACCCTGCAATCGGGGCTGCCAACTAACGCTGCGACCGTACCGACAAACTTCGTGAACGCCACGACTTACCTAGAACTGCCCACTAACTCGTGAACCCCGGTCATCAATGCACTCCAACAACTAAGCGCCTGTGATATCTGAGCTGGTATGTGCTGAATAGTTACCAAAATGTCAAAACTTTACTGTCGCCAGGTTAAGCCACGCGGTTTCAATGCTTAGGCACCGACTGGTTATAAACAATCTTCACTTGGCAACATACGAATGAATTGAGTTCCCGTCAATACGATGCAGCAGCTGCGTCACAGCCCGCGACGCCATGGCACCCAATAATAACTGGTTAAGGCTGCTTATACAACAGCTAAACTCAATCCATCTAATGTGGACCACAACTAATATCTCATCAGCAACATTGTTTTGCTGACCCCACTTACAGCAGTTGTTAAAACCAAAACTACTTAATGGATATAGTAGCAACGTAAGTTTATATTTTAAGAAAGAAATATTTGTGTTTTAACGTTAGGTGATCTATTAAAACCATACGACGCGTGCGCCTATCATTGTTCGCAAATGCCTTGCGTAATAGATTATGTTACCTATTGATAAAATCTTCTTTAAATATTAAATTGAATTGTGTTGCACGTATAATGGTAATTTTTTCAGAATCTACTGGCTAATGATTTAAATTTTAATACAGGTTACACTACGTTTAGTAACGCAAGTATCTTTCTTCGATGTTCTTTCTACTTATGTGTTCATTTCAGATGGCGGTAACCTTAAATTTTCTTTATATTTATTGATATAGTAAACGTGTTTGTTTAGTGTACGTTATGTTTAAACAGTACTTATAAGTTAATTATTACTTTTATGCTCTACTCAATTTATTTCAGCATAAATAACATTTTATTCTAGCGAAAACGCGTTCTACAAACACGGCGTACAGACGCGATGTTAGACATGTCTAAAATTAAAAAAATAGATAAACACAACACTACAATACGATTGTAACGAAATTCTAAAAATTAATGTAAAAAATATCGACATCACATTTGCTTTAAAAAATACGCCCTCGAAATTTTAAATATTCACTGCACAATATTTAACATTTAGAACAATCGTGGAATCAAACCAGGTCGAGGTCGAGAGTTCCTGATTTTCTTAAATGATTCTTAAAATAATCACATTTTTGTATTATTTACTTACTGTTAAATACATTTTCTGCTATGAATAAACCAATATTTCAGGACGTTCCAAAATGCCAAATGTCACTGTAAGACTTTTAAATCGATATAAAGCAACGGCCTAAAAGCATCAATCATAGACGATAAACTTACAGTTCATGAGAAATGTACAGGGTTCTGCAAAATATTGTTAATATGGACACAACACTTCTCTTGGTATTATGATTTGTTTTAAACATCGTCTGGTATGTATAAAAATATTACAGGAATGTTCCAAAATGTAGAATGATCACTGGGTGACTTTAAAGTTAATGAGTACAATAACAAAATGATGTATCTCATAATATTAATATAGAAATGCGGCCGTGAGAAATTACATATTCTTTATAAATAAAGCAAGGATAAAAACCAGATATCCGACACAAAAATGCCTAATATGAAAATATTAAAATTTCGTTTCGGGTATGTATAAGAAAATATTTCAGGGACATCGAAATTTCTTAAGTCATTTGATGACCCTAAATACATGAAAAACAATCAAGGGAGTATAACATTCAGCTGAACTGAGCCTCGATAATGGTATGTTGATATAATATGTAAAAAAATGGACTGAAGGGTTAAAATGTGAATTTGTGATAAAATACAAAGGGAACTTACGAATTATATGATATGTATGTGTCAAAAGCTTGTAAAGTGGTTAAATGGTGAGCAATATCTATATTTAATATTATTATAACATAACAGTGGGGTGAGATGAATAAATTTTAAATGCGAGAATTTAATATAGTTATATTATGATCTGTCTTCTGTACATATATGAAATACTGAAAGTTCGTTTTCGGGTGCGTATAGAAAAATTTTCAGGGACATACGGAATTTCTAAAGAGATTTTCATGCATGAAGTGCACTCAAGGGATAATTTATATTCAGTTGAATTAGATTATTAAAAGTTCGAGATTATATAAAAGTGCTAAAGCTTGGCTTTTTGGTGAGTGCTACCTAGTTTGCTCAAATATAACACAGGAGTGAGATGTATAAATTTTAGATGCGAGAATTTAAATATAATATGCTTAGACCCTTCTTCAGTGTATATATATGTAAAGCTTAAAAGCTAGTTTTTGAGTATGTATAAATAAATATTTCAGGAACATAGAAATTTCTAAACAGTCGTTAGGCGACTTTCATACATGAAGCGCAATAAAGTGATAAAACATTCTGTAACCAAACAAAGTTATATTCGAGTAAAATCATATATAGCCCTGTCCAATGCTGATGATAAAAATGTACTATAAAGATGAACTGAATGAGTACAATGTTAGTGTTACGAATCGAAATGACGAATTATTATAATATGCATTCTGTTCTAAATGCTTGTGAAGTAAGTGGTGAGTATGATATCTTGGTTTGTTTACATGGAATAGTACAGTGGAGTGAGATAAATTAGTTTTAAATGAGTAAATTTAAATATAATTCACTAAATATTTCATAGCAAGTAGGTAACACTAACATATCAGCTTCCATAATTGTTATTAATTGTTAAAAACTTACTACTTAATCAATATTTATTTAAATGTAGTGTACGAAAATATCACAAAAATTTTTTCTATTGTTTTACCGCATAGCTCCTTTCTTGCCTTTATAAATTCAGTAGGTTGCGCTAACTATTTTGTCAGCAGGAATTTGATTGTGGACAACAGAAATGTAAAGATATGGATTTGACGACTTCCTTGTAATAATGAGATATTTAAAAGTTTACTAAAAACTGCTCATTAAGTTATATTATTCACTAAACAAAGGAAATTACGATCTGTTAAAAGGTCTAGAGTTAAACCAGTTTTTTTGCCTAAAAGTCTGAAATTTAAAGCTACTAATAATACTTCGAGTTTTCTAAATGATTTTCATTTCATGTATGAGTAATTAATATTTATGTACTTTATTTTTTAATTTAGCATAGGATGTGTTAATTATTTTTGTCAACAGAACTCCGTAGAGTGGTAGATTAATCCTGAACGATTGGTTTTTTATCGAAACATTTAATTAACTGAATATATCTGTTACCCAATAGACTCAAGGAAACACTTCGAAAATTTATATTTATAAAAAAACAAGTACTTAATAACATTAGGCTGCCGATATAATAATTAACGAAATTTAATTATTTGCATGAACTAATTCTTCTAAAAGGTAGGATGTGCGTGTATAATTTTTTTTCACAGGTATGACAAGGCATTTTTAAAAGAGAAAGACAATGTCATAGTAAGAAAAATAATACAATGTTAACAAAGTAAATAAATAAGCAATATAAAAATGCATTCTATAAGGACGAAATTGTCACACAAAATTCATAACGTTTCATATTTAATGATAAGTAGTTGTTACCTATATTATATTTAAAGGCAAAACGTGCTTAATATGAGGTATGCAAACAAAATAAAACTCAAATTTAAGCTGAAAACAATAGACTACACTTAAGTATTATGGAGGAAAAAAAGAGAAAATCTTAAATAGTTCAAAAAAAGAAGGACGAGAGCAGACATGAATCTCATTCTAGAATTGATTTAAACTAAAGTCATGTTAAAAAGAAAAACAAAAGTAAAATACTAAACACAATGCAGGCTAAACTAAAAAAAAATAAATGGAATAGTACAGTGGAGTGAGATAAATTAGTTTTAAATGAGTAAATTTAAATATAATTCACTAAATATTTCATAGCAAGTAGGTAACACTAACATATCAGCTTCCATAATCGTTATTAATTGTTAAAAACTTACTACTTAATCAATATTTATTTAAATGTAGTGTACGAAAATATCACAAAAATTTTTTCTATTGTTTTACCGCATAGCTCCTTTCTTGCCTTTATAAATTCAGTAGGTTGCGCTAACTATTTTGTCAGCAGGAATTTGATTGTGGACAACAGAAATGTAAAGATATGGATTTGACGACTTCCTTGTAATAATGGGATATTTAAAAGTTTACTAAAACTGCACATTAAGTTGTATTATTCACTAAACAAAGGAAATTGCGATCTGTTAAAAGGTGTAGAGTTAAACCAGTTTTTTTGCCTAAAAGTCTGAAATTTAAAGCTACTAATAATACTTCGACTAAATGATTTTCATTTCATGTATGAGTAATTAATATTTATGTACTTTATTTTTTAATTTAGCATAGGATGTGTTAATTATTTTTGTCAACAGAACTCCGTAGAGTGGTAGACTAATCCTGAACGATTGGTTTTGTATCGAAACCTTTAATTAACTGAATATATCTGTTACCCAATAGACTCAAGGAAACACTTCGAAAATTTATATTTAAAAAAAAAAACAAGTACTTAATAACATTAGGTTGCCGTTATAATAATTAACGAAATTTAATTATTTGCATGAACTAATTCTTCTAAAAGGTAGGATGTGCGTGTATAATTTTTTTCACAGGTATGACAAGGCATTTTTAAAAGAGAAAGACAATGTCATAGTAAGAAAAATAATACAATGTTAACAAAGTAAATAAATAAGCAATATAAAAATGCATTCTATAACGACGAAATTGTCACACAAAATTCATAACGTTTCATATTTAATGATAAGTAGTTGTTACCTATATTATATTTAAAGGCAAAACGTGCTGAATATGAGGTATGCAAACAAAATAAAACTCAAATTTAAGCTGAAAACAATAGACTACACTTAAGTATTATGGAGGAAAAAAAGAGAAAATCTTAAATAGTTCAAAAAGAAGGACGAGAGCAGACATGAATCTCATTCTAGAATTGATTTAAACTAAAGTCATGTTAAAAAGAAAAACAGAAGTAAAATACTAAACACAATGCAGGCTAAACTAAAAAAACTAAAAGGAATAAAAACTAAGAAGTGGAGAAAACGAATGCGAACAAATCTGTGTAGAATTCGGTGTCTGATGACAGAGTGAAGTAGACGACGATTAAGGACATAGTCTAGAAGACTACTAATGAGTCACGGAGAAGACAAAAAATGAAGGCCGTATGAAGAAGACTGATATTGAAAACCTAGCGAACAAGAAAAAGACTGATAACTGAAACTGAATACTCCACGGCGAAGTCGTAGACTGAAGACCCAGCGGCGAAGACAGCGACGAACCAGCGGCAAAGAATAAGTTAGAAGACTCGAAGGAGAGGACGAAGACCGAAAATCCGAAGAAAACGACAAAGACCCGAAGGAGAAGACGAAGACAGAAGACCCAAAGAAGAAGAAAAGACCTGAAAGAGAGGACGAAGTACCTGAAGGAGAAGACGAACACTAGAAGGAGAAGACCATAGACGAGGACCCGAAGGAGAAAACGAAGTTCGAAGAGGCGAAGGAGATGACGAAGTTCGAAGATGCGAAGGAGACGTCGAAGTTCGAAAACGCGAAGGAGACGACTAAGTTCGAAGACGCGAAGGAGACGACGAAGTTCGAAGACGCGAAGGAGACGACGAAGTTCGAAGAAGCGAAGGAGACGACGATGACTGAAGACACGAAGGAGAAGACGAAGACTGAAGACACGCAGGAGAAGACGAAGGAGAAGACGAAGACTGGAGACACGAAGGAGAAGATGAAGACTGAAGATACTAAGGAGAAGACGAAGACTGAAGACACGAAGTAGAAGACGAAGACTGAAGACACGAAGAAGATGAAGACTGAAGACACGAAGGAGAAGACGAAGACGAAGACTGAAGACACGAAGGAGAAGACGAAGACTGAAGACACGAAGGAGAAGACGAACACTGAAGACACGAAGAGGAGAAGACGAAGACTGAAGGCACGAAGAGGAGAAGACGAAGACTGAAGATACGAAAAGCAGAAGACGAAGACTGAAGGCACGAAGGAGAAGACCAAGACTGAAGACACGAAGAAGATGAAGACTGAAGACACGAAGGAGAAGTCGAAGACGAAGACTGAAGACACGAAGGAGAAGACGAAGACTGAAGACACGAAGGAGAAGACGAACACTGAAGACACGAAGAGGAGAAGACGAAGACTGAAGGCACGAAGAGGAGAAGACGAAGACTGAAGATACGAAAAGCAGAAGACGAAGACTGAAGGCACGAAGGAGAAGACGAAGACTGAAGACATGAAGGAGAAGACGAAGACTGAAGGCACGAAGAGGAGAAGACAAAGACCGAAGGCACGAAGAGGAGAAGACGAAGACTGAAGACACGAAGGAGAAGACGAAGACTGAAGACACGAAGGATAAGACGATGACTGAAGACACGAAGAGGAGAGGACGAAGACTGAAGACACGAAGGAGAAGACGAAGACTGAAGACACGAAAAGGAGAAGACGAAGACCGAAGGCACGAAGAGGAGAAGACGAAGACTGAAGACACGAAGAGGAGAAGACGAAGACTGAAGGCACGAAGAGGAGAAGACGAAGACTGAAGACACGAAGGAGAAGACGAAGACTGAAGACACGAAGGCTGAAAACCGGAAGGAGACGACGAAGACTGAAGATCGAAGACGAAGCCTGAAGACCAAAGACGAAGCCTGAGGATCGAAGACGAAGCCTGAAGATCGAAGACGAAGCCTGAAGATCGAAGACGAAGCCTGAAGATCGAAGACGAAGCCTGATGATCTATATATTAAACGAAGCCTAAAAACTAGAGCGGCATATACCATACGAACCTAAAGTCTAAGGGGGAATATATTGTACGAAGCCTAAAGACTAAGGAGGCCTATATTAAACGAAGTCTAAAGACTAAGGAGGCCTATATTAAACGAAGTCTAAAGACTAAAGAGGTATATGTATATTACGAAGCCTAAAGACCAAGAACGCATCAAAGAATGAATTGATCCAACGAAAACTAGAGCAAAAAATACAGAATATAATTTTTTATTTATAAAAAACTAAGACAGTTGATTCAGATAAAGTTGGAAACTACACTCGTGACGATCCGAAGAAAAAGACAAAGACCCAAAGGAGAAGACGAAGACAAGAACCAATGAAGAAGAAGACAAGACTAAAGGCTAAGGGGGAATATATTATACGAAGCCAAAAGACTAAAGAGAAATATTATATACGAAGCCTAAAGACTAAGGAGGCCTATATTAAACGAAGTCTAAAGACTAAAGAGGTATATGTATATTACGAAGCCTAAAGACCAAGAACGCATCAAAGAATGAATTGATCCAACGAAAACTAGAGCAAAAAATACAGAATATAATTTTTTATTTATAAAAAACTAAGACAGTTGATTCAGATAAAGTTGGAAACTACACTCGTGACGATCCGAAGAAAAAGACAAAGACCCAAAGGAGAAGACGAAGACAAGACCCAATGAAGAAGAAGACAAGACTTAAAAGAGAAGACGAAGTACCAGAAGGAGAAGACCATAGACGAGGACCCGAAGGAGAAGACGAAGTTCGAAGAGGCGAAGGAGACGACGAAGTTCGAAGACGCGAAAGAGACGATGAAGTTCGAAGACGCGAAGGAGACGACGAAGTTCGAAGATGCGAAGGAGACGACGATGACAGTAGACACGAAGGAGAAGACGAAGACAGAAGACACGAAGGAGAAGACGAAGACTGAAGACACGAAGGAAAAGACGAAGACTGGAGACACGAAGGAGAAGATGAATACTGAAGACACGAAGTAGAAGACGAAGACTGAAGACGCGAAGGAGAAGACGAAGACTGAAGACACGAAAGAGAAGACGAAGACTGAAGACACGAAGAGGAGAAGACGAAGACTGAAGACACGAAGAGGAGAAGACGAAGACTGAAGACACGAAGAAGAAGACGAAGACTGAAGACACGAAGGAGAAGACGAAGACTGAAGACGCGAAGGAGAAGACGAAGACTGAAGAAACGAAGAGAAGACGAAGACTTAAGGCACGAAGAGGAGAAGACGAAGCCTGAAGGCACGAAGAGCAGAAGACAAAGACCGAAGGCACGAAGAGGAGAAGACGAAAACTGAAGACACGAAGAGGAGAAGACAAAGACTGAAGACACGAAGAGGAGAAGACGAAGACTGAAGACACGAAGGAGAAGACGAAGACTGAAGACACGAAATAGAAGATGAAGACTTAAGACCCGAAGGAGAAGACGAAGACTGAAGAGATAAAAAATCTTAGATAGATCGCAAAGACAAAAAGGTGATGCATGAAAACGAAAAGTAACGAAATGAGAAGACATTCGGATGAAGACCCAAAACTAAACTAAGATAGCTGGAGTTAGACTACAAAGGATGAAAACGAAGACGAAATCTAAAGCCATACGCGATACCTAAAGATCTAAAACGATGTCAAAAGATCGATGGGCCTAAAAACCAAACGCGACGCTAAAAGACTAAAAACGATGCCAAAAGACAGAAAACTAAGCCTGAATTCCGATGACGAAGTTTAAAGCTCCAAGAAAAAGCCTAAAGACGGAAGACGAACCCTAAAGGCCGATGATGAACCCTAAAGACCGATGACGAACCCTAAAGACCAAAGACGAAGCCTGAGGATCGAAGACAAAGCCTGAAGATCGAAGACGAAGCCTGAAGATCGAAGACGAAGCCTGAAGATCGAAGACGAAGCCTTAAGATCGAAGACGAAGTCTGAAGATCGAAGACAAAGCCTGAAGACCAAAGACGAAGTCTGAGGATCGAAGACGAAGCCTGAGGATCGAAGAAGAAGCCTGAAGATCGAAGACGAAGCCTGAAGATCGAAGACGAAGTCTGAAGATCGAAGACGAAGCCTGATGATCTATATATTAAACGAAGCCTAAAGACTAGAGAGGCATATACCATACGAACCTAAAGGCTAAAGGGGAATATATTAAACGAAGTCTAAAGACTAAAGAGGAATATGTATATTACGAAGCCTAAAGACCAAGAACGCAGCAAAGAATGAATTGATCCAACGAAAACTAGAGCAAAAAATACAGAATATAATTTTTTATTTATAAACAACTAAGACAGTTGATTCAGATAAAGTTGGAAACTACACCCATGACTCTTAAGTATGTTAGTTTTTATTTAAAACCGTTGAATTATTTTTAAATGTTATATGGAAAATAAATTGCATGTTTTTTTTTCAGGTTAAATTATTCAAACGGCGATCTCTTCACCAGCTTATATCCGTATCGTTTTTCGATGACAAACCTAATGAGAAGATGCAACCAAACAAAAGTGATTTTAACATGAAAATATGAATCAACTCGACCCAAATACAATGTCGGCGATATCCATGATCCATTAAATTTTTTTAATAATTTTCAAATAACTGAATTTTATTTTCTCATAATGTAATTTCGCCAACCATATTTTTCATGAGTAAGCGCCATTCTTCGTGAAGACGTGCAGTTGTGATGCAGTCGAGTTACTCGTGAAGAGCTGTCCGCGGGGACTCTACTACTGCTACAGATGAGAGGTAGTTGGGCGTCGCGGCGACTTACAAACCTGCATCGTGCTATGCGTCCGAGCACTTTCCGGATTCCCGGTTATCAGCCCAATAGGTAAAGCTAGGTGATTGCGTCATTACTTTGACACTTAAAAAAAATCAGTATGCCTGTGTAGACAATCATGTGTGTGCTTTACTTTTAAATCCCAGATAAACGATCTCACGACTGATGCTGCCCGAACAGACTGCTATCGAAATGAATTTGTTACTGTGCTGCCTTTAACTTTCAACCAAGGACAAACGTAGTTGCTCGGCAAGGAGGGCGTTGGCTGCATTTGTGTACATAACACCAAGTCAATTATCGATGTTTACTCAATGCAGATATATATATTAAGTAAACCTGACGAAATGCTTACGTAACTATGTATATGTACCTTTCAAACAATCTCATGTAATGACGAAAAATGACATCTTACCTAAGTCTTACGAAAAAGGGACTTATTATAATGGTAAGTAAGACAACATCCAAATGTAGGTTTAAAAGGTATACTGTTAAACATACAAGAAATGATGTGTTCATTTCACAGCTAACACGGCGCATTTGACATGCGATGTCCGAGTTAACTTTCTTAAATTAAACGAAAGCAATGTTGATACCTTTACGAGGAAGGTAAATTTTCCGGCACTCTAAATCATCGGACTATCACCTTTTACAGAGATACATCCATCCCCACGCTCGTAAATATATACTTGATTATTAAGCCAAACATCAATTTTAATCTTACCCAAATATCTTCTGGATTAGCTTAGGTAAGTTGTCACTAAACCAAAATTGACCTTTTGCAATAAATAATAAGGTGTTTTATGTAACCACCGACATTATTATTATATCAACGTAAATTATAAGACCTGAAATTAACGGCCCTTTAACCTTTATTTTTATTTTTAGATCGTTATTATTTTAATAATTTGAACAAGTAACTACGTAATTAAAAACTACCATTTAAAAAACATGGAATGCTATATTGAAATCTGTATGCTGCTAAGTTTTATTGCAAGTGATAGGTAAAAAGTACTGAAATTTAAATAGATATGAACGAATTAATATGGAGACCTGAGATTTGAAGGCCTTAAAACTTATGTCTCGTACATAATAAATTCGATGCTACTTACGAAATAGGTACTTAAGATTTCTTAAATTTACGCGAACACTACACATTGAATAAAACTATTATTTACGGATTTTATCGCGTTTAATTACTTTAATTTATTTTTATTATTATCCCGACGTTTCGGGTGCTTTACAGCACCCATGGTCACGGGGAGGGACTGAGATATTTGACGTCTCAATGTCATAGTTAGTCCGGCTACCTTCAGTTTTTTTTAATATTAATTTTTGGCCCGATTTACGCAAAACGAGCTTATAGTATCATGAAGTCTTGCAGTGGTATGCTTGGGTTTTGGTTTAATTTTGTTAATTATAGGATCCCAAGCAGATGGTATATATGGTAAACGTGTTTGTTTAGTATACGTTATGTTTAAGCAGTACACTTATAAGTTAATTATTACTTTTATGCTCTACTCAATTTATTTCAGCATAGGTAAATAACTTTTTTTATTCTACCGAAAACGCGTTGTACAGACACGGCGTACGGACGCGGTGTTAGACATGTCTAAAATTTAAAAAATAAATAAACACAACACTACAATACGATTGTAACGAAAGTCTAAAAATTAACTTAAAAAATATTAAATGTCATTTGCTTTAAAAGATACGCCCTCGAATTTTAAATATTCACTGCACAATATTTAACATTTAGAACAATCGTGGAATCAAACAAGGTCGAGGTCGAGAGTTACTGATTTTCTTAAATGATTCTTAAAATAATCACATTTTTGTATTATGTACTTACTGTTGAATACATTTTCTGCTATGATTAAACCAATATTTCAGGACATTCCAAAATGCAAAATGTCAAATGTAAGTCTTTTGCATCGATATAAAGCAACGTCATAGACGATTAAACTAACAGTTCATGAGAAATGTACAGGGTTCTGCAAAATGTTGTACAACACTTTTCTTGGTATTATGATTTAAAACGAAGGACCAAAATCGGTATTGCAAATTTGTTTTAAACATCGTTTGGTATGTATAAAATATAACAGGAATGTTCCAAAATGTAGAATGATCACTGGGTGACTTTAAAATTAATGAGTACAATATCAAAATGATGTATCATAATATTAATATAGAAATGCGGCCGTGAGAAATTACATATTCTTTATAAATAAAGCAAGGATAAAAACCAGATATCTGACACAAAAATGCCCAATATGAAAATATTAAAAGTTCGTTTCGGGTATGTATAAATATTTCAGGGACATCGAAATTTCTTAAGTCATTTGATGACCTATATACATGAAAAACAATCAAGGGAGTATAACATTCAGCTGAACTGAGCCTCGATAATGGTATGTTGACATAATATGTAAAAAAGTGGACTGAAGGGGTAAAATGTGAAATTGTGATAAAATACAAAGGGAACTTACGAATTATATGATATGTATGTGTCAAAAGCTTGTAAAGTGGTTAAATGGTGAGCAATATCTATATTTAATATTATTATATTATAACATAACAGTGGAGTGAGATGAATAAATTTTAAATGCGAGAATTTAATATAGTTATGATCTGTCTTCTGTACATATATGAAATACTGAAAGTTCGTTTTCGGGTGCGTATAGAAAAATTTTCAGGGACATACGGAATTTCTAAAGAGATTTTCATGCATGAAGTGCACTCAAGGGACAATTTATATTCATAATAAGGTCTAGAGTTAACCCAGTTTTTTTGCCTAAAAGTCTGAAATTTAAAGCTACTAATATAATACTTCGATTTACGACTCCAGGTTTAAAAAGTAGGTTTAAAAGGTAAATGTCAAGTCTATACATTTTTCACAGGTATTCAAAGATTTAAAAATCTAGGAAATAATAATACAATTTTTATACTGTTCATAAGGTAAAAAATGAACATCACTCTAAATGATTTTCGTTTCATGTACGAGTAATTAATACTTATGTACTTTATTTTTTAATTTAGCATAGGATGTGTTAATTATTTTTGTCAACATAACTCCGTAGAGTGGTAGACTAATCCTGAACGATTGGTTTTATATCAAAACCTTTAATTAACTGAATATATCTGTTACCCAATAGACTCAAGGAAACACTTCGAAAATTTCTATTTAATAAAAAACCACGTACTCATAACGAAATTTAATTATTTGCACGAAGTAATTCTTCTAAACGGTAGGATGTGCGTGTATAATTTTTTTTCACAGATATGACAAGGCATTTTTAAAAGAGAAAGACAATGTCAGAGTAAGAAAAATAATACAATGTTAACAAAGTAAATAAATAAGCAATATAAAAATGCATTATATAACGACGAAATTGTCACACAAAATTCATAACGTTTTATATTTAATAAGTAGTTGTTACCTATACTATATTTAAAGGCAAAACGTGCTGAATATGAGGTATTCAAACAAAATAAAACTCTTTAAGCTGAAAACAATAGACTACACTTAAGTACTACTCTGTGTAAAAAGTATCGGGAATATGTCAATAAAAAGACCCGCGTAAAAGAGATCGTTCTAATTTTTTTTCTTGTTCTTATTTTACTGCATGTTGGTAGCACTGTACTGATTTAGCGCGCAAAGTTTGAGCGGGATCTGTCATTTAATTTGTTTTAAACTACACTTTTTGTTGGTCATAGTTTTGAGTTCTCGGCGATTTTTACAATGGAAAATATTGTTGAACAAAGAGTGTGCCTTAAATTTTGTGTTTCGAATGATATTTCATGTGGTGAATCACTAAAAATGTTGCGAAATACCTACGGCGAATCGTGTATATCGAAAACATGAGCTTATGAATGGTATAAGGCTTTTAAAGTAGGCCGAGAAGTAGTAGTAGACTTGCCTCGTTCTGGTAGACCTTCAACCGCTACGACCAAAGAAAACATCGACAAAATCAAGAAGCTAGTGCTCGAAAATCGACGTATGAGTCTGAGAGAGTTGGCTAGTGAGGTGAACATATCTTTTAAGTCCGTCCACAACATTCTTATTGACATTTAAGGCATGAAACGCGTCGCCGCTCGATTAGTTCCAAAAGAGCTCAATTTTGTTCAAAGAGCGCAGCGAAAGCATGTCGCTGAAGACGGTTTCCCGAGCTTCTACGGATCCGACCTTTATGAAACGTATAATAACTGGCGACGAGACATGGGTTTATGAGTACGGTATGCAAACAAGCTAACAGTCTTCAGAATGGCGTCTCGAAAACGAGCCGAAACCCAAAAAACCGCGGCAAAGTCGCTCCAAAATCAAGGTGATGCTGACAGTTTTTTTGACTACCGTGGTGTGGTTCACTCCGAATTCCTTCTAAAGGGAGAAACAGTGAATAAAAAATATTATTTAGGCGTCATGAAGCGTTTTCGTGAGAGTATTCGCCGAAAACGTCCAGATTTGTGGCAACACAACTCATGGATGCTGCACCATGATAATGCACCATCACACACAGCCATTATAGTGAGAGTTTTTAGCGAAAAATTCAACAAAAGTTCTCGACCAAGCACCGTATTCACCTGATATGGCTTCGTCTGACTTTTTTTTATTTCCCTAGTTAAAATTACCACTTCGAGGAAAATGTTTTGAGTCGATAGAAGCCATAACAAAAAATTCGCTGAATGAGCGAAAGGCCATACCGCAAATAGCCTATGAAAAATGTATGGAAGACTGGGTGAAGCGTTGGAGATGTTGTATTGCAAGCGATGGCTACTACTGACTACTTTGAAGGCGATAAAATAAATTTAGATGAATAATTTGTATTTTTTGTTTTATTGACAAATTCCCGATATTTAGTACACAGAAGGTATTTTGGAGGAAAAAAAAGAGAAAATCTTAAGTAGTTCAAAATGAAGGACGAGAGCAGACATAAATCTCATACTAGAATTGATTTAAACTAAAGTCATGTTAAAAAGAAAAACCGAAGTAAAATACTGAACACCATGCAGGCTAAACTAAAAATATAATTAAAAGAACTGAAAACTAAGAAGTGGAGAAAACGAATGCGAACAAATCTGTGTAGAAGTCAGTGTCTGATGACAGAGTGAAGTAGACGAAGATTGAGGACCTAGTCTAGAAGACTACTAATGAGAATCACGGAGAAGACAAAAAATGAAGGCCCTATGAAGAAGACTTCTATTGAAAACCTCGTGAACAAGAAGAAGACTGATAACGTTTGCGATGATGGAAACTGATGATCTAGCGGCGAAGACCGAGAATGAACATCCAGCGGCGAAGATGGAAACTGAAAACACCACGGCGAAGTCGAAGACTGAAGACTCAGCATAAGTTAGAAGACCCGAAGGAGGATGAAGACCCGAAGAGAAAGATGAAGAACGAAGACCCTTAGGAGAGGAAGAAGATGAAGTCAGAAGGACAAGACGAAGACCGAAGACCCGAAAGAGAATATGAAGACCCGAAGGAGAAGACGAAAAACGAAGACCATAAGAAGACGAAAAACCAAGACCTGAAGAAGTCGAAGACCGAAGACCCGAACGAGAAGACGAAAAACATAGACGAGTCCCAGAAGGAGAAGACGAAGTTCGAAGACGCGAAGGAGAAGATGAAAACTGAAGACTCGAAGAAGACGAAGACTAAAGACTCGAAGGAGAAGACGAAGTCTGAAGACCCGAAGGAGAAGACGAAGACTGAAGACCTGAAGGAGAAGACGAAGACTGAAGATCCGAAGGAGAAGACGAAGACTGAAGACCCGAAGGAGAAGACGAAGGCTGAAGACTGAAGACTCAAAGGAGAAAGCGAAGACTGAAGACCCGAAGGAGAAGACGAAGACCGAAGACCAGAAGGTGAAGACGAAGAACATAGATGAGGCCCAGAAGGAGAAGATGAAGTTCGAAGACTCGAACGAGAAGACGAAGGCTGAAGACCCGAAGGAGAAACCGAAGACTGAATACTCGAATAAGAAGATGACCGAAGACCCGAAGGAGAAGACGAAGACTGAAGACCTGAAGGAGTATATGAAGACTGAAGACTCGAAGGAGAAGACTGAAGACCTGAAGGAGAAGACGAAGACTGGAGACCCGAAGGAGAAGACAAAGACTGTAGACCTGGAGGAGAAGAAAAAGACTGAAGACCCGAAGGAGGAGAGACTGACGACCCGAAGGAGAAGACGAAGACTGGAGACCCGAAGGAGAAGACGAAGACTGAATACCCGAAGGAACAAACGAAGGCTGACGACCCGTAGAGAAGATGAAGAATGAAAACCCGAAGGAGAAGACGAAGACTTAAGAACCGGAGGAGAAGACGAAGACTGTAGACTCGAAGGAGAAGACGAAGACTGAAGACCCGGAGGAGAAGATGAAGACTGAAACCCGAAGGAAAAGACGAAGACTGAAGACCCGAAGGAGAAGACGCAGACTGAAGACCCGACGGAGAAGACAAAGACTGAAGACCCGAAGGAGAAGACGAAGACTGAAGACCCGAACGTGAAGACAAAGACTGAAGACCCGGAGGAGAAGACGGAGACTGTAGACTCGAAGGAGAAGACGAAGACTGAATACCCGAAGGGGCAAACGAAGGCTGACGACCCGAAGGAGAAGATGAAGACTGAAAACCCGAAGAAGAAGACGAAGACTGAAGGATCGAAGGAGAAGACGAAGTATGAAGACCCGAAGGTGAAGACGAAGATTGTAGACCTGGAGGAGAAGATGAAGACTGAAGACTCGAAGGAGAAGACGAAGACTGGAGACCCGAAGGAGAAGAGGAAGACTGAAAACCCGGAGAAGACCAGGTCTGAGAACCCGAAGGAGACGACGAAGACTGAAGACCCGAAGGAGAAGACGAAGACTGAAGACCCGGAGGAGAAGACGAAGTCTGAGGACCCGAAGGAGAAGACGAAGACTGAAGACCCGAAGGAGAAGACGGAGACTGTAGACTCGAAGGAGAAGACGAAGACTGAATACCCGAAGGGACAAACGAAGGCTGACGACCCGAAGGAGAAGATGAAGACTGAAAACCCGAAGAAGAAGACGAAGACTGAAGGATCGAAGGAGAAGACGAAGTATGAAGACCCGAAGGGGAAGACGAAGATTGTAGACCTGGAGGAGAAGATGAAGACTGAAGACTCGAAGGAGAAGACGAAGACTGGAGACCCGAAGGAGAAGATAAAGACTGAAGACCCGGAGGAGAAGACGCAGACTGAAGACCCGGAAGAGAAGACGAAGACTGTAGACTCGAAGGAGAAGACAAAGACGGGAGACTCCAAGGAGAAGACGAAGACTGAATATCCGAAGGAGCAAATGAAGGCTGACGACCCGCAGGAGAAGATGAAGACTGAAAACCGAAGATGAAGACGAAGACTGAAGGATCGAAGGAGAAGACGAAGTATGAAGACCAGAAGGAGAAGACAAAAACTGAAGACCCGGAGGAGAAGAGGAATTCTGAAGACTCGAAGGAGAAGACAAAGACTGGAGACCCGGAGGAGAAGAGAAATTCTGAAGACTCGAAGGAGAAGACAAAGACTGGAGACCCGAAGGAGAAGATGAAGACTGAAAACCCGAAGGAGTAGACGAAGTCAGAAGACCCGAAGGAGAAGATGAAGACCCGAAAGAGAAGATGAAGGCTGACGACCCGAAAAAGATGACGAAGACTGAAGACCCGAAGGAGAAGACGAAGGCTGACGACCCGAAGGAGAAGACGCAGACTGAGGAGCCGAAGGAGAAGACGCAGATTGAAGACCCGAAGGAGAAGACGAAGACTGAAGACCCGAAGGAGAAGACGAAGTCTGAAGACCCGAAGGAGAAGACAAAGTCTGAAGACCCGAAGGAGAAGACAAATTCTGAAGACTCGAAGGAGAAGACAAAGACTGGAGACCCGAAGGAGAAGATGAAGACTGAAAACCCGAAGGAGTAGACGAAGTCTGAAGACCCAAAGGAGAAGACGAAGACCCGAAAGAGAAGATGAAGGCTGACGACCCGAAAAAGAAGACGAAGACTGAAGACCCGAAGGAGAAGACGAAGGCTGACGACCCGAAGGAGAAGACGCAGACTGAGGAGCCGAAGGAGAAGACGAAGACTGAAGACCCGAAGGAAAAGGCGAAGACTGAAGACCCGAAGGAGAAGTCGAAGACATAAAACTTAAATTGATCGCAAAGACAACAAGGTGATCCATGAATACGAAAACAATCGAAATGAGAATATATAAGGATGAAGAACGAAAACTTAACTAAGATAACTGGATTTAGACTACAAAAAAATGAAGACGAAATCATACACGATACCTCAAGACCTTGGCATCGCCAAAAGATCGATTGGCCTAACAGCCAAACACGACGCCAAAGGACTAAAAACGATGCCAAAAAATCGATGGGCCTAACAGTCAAACACGACGCCAAAGAACTAAAAACGATGCTAAAAGACTGAAAACTAAGCCTGAATCCCAGTGACGAGGTTTAAAGCCCCAAGGAAAAGCCTGAAGACCGAAGACGAAGCCTGAAGACCGAAGACGAATCCTGAAGACCGAAGACGAAGCCTGTAGACCGAAGACGAAGCCTGAAGATCGAAGACGAAGCCTGAAGATCGAAGACGAAGCCTGAGGATCGAAGACGAAACCTGAGGATCGAAGACGAAGCCTGATGATCTATATATTAAACGAAGACTAAAGAGGAATATGTATATTAAACGAATCCTAAAGACCAAGAACGCAGGCAAAGAATGAATTAATCCAACGAAAGCTAGAGCAAAAATAGAGAATATATTTTTTTATTTATAAACAACTAAGACAGTTGATTCAGATAAAATTGGAAACTACACTCATGACTCTTAGGTATGTTAGTATGTATTTAATAGCGTTGAATTATTTTTAAATGTTATATGGAAAATAAATTGCATGTTTTTTTTTTCAGGTTAAATTATTCAAACGGCGATCTCTTCACCAGCTTATATCCGTATCGTTTTTCGATGACAAACCTAATGAGAAGATGCAACCAAACAAAAGTGATTTTAACATGAAAATATGAATCAACTCTACACAAATACAATGTCGGCGATATCCATGATCCATTAAATTTTTTTAATAATTTTCAAATAACTGAATTTTATTTTCTCATAATGTAATTTCGCCAACCATATAATTTTCATGAGTAAGCGCCATTCTTCGTGAAGACGTGCAGTTGTGATGCAGTCGAGTTACTCGTGAAGAGCTGTCCGCGGGGACTCTGCTACTGCTACAGATGAGAGGTAGTTGGGCGTCGCGGCGACTTACAAACTTGCATCGTGCTATGCGTCCGAGCACTTTCCTGATTCCCGGTTATCAGCCCACTAGGTAAAGCTAGGTGATTGCGTCATTACTTTGACACTTAAAAAAATCAGTATGCCTGTGTAGACAATCATGTGTGTGCTTTACTTTTAAATCCCAGATAAACGATCTCACGACTGATGCTGCCCGAACAGACTGCTATCGAAATGAATTTGTTACTGTGCTGCCTTTAACTTTCAATCAAGGACAAACGTAGTTGCTCGGCAAGGAGGGCGTTGGCTGCATTTGTGTACATAACACCAAGTCAATTATTGATGTTTACTCAATGCAGATATATATTAAGTAAACCTGACGAAATGCTTACGTAACTATGTATATGAACCTTTCAAACAATCTCGGGGGGGTTGGGGTCACTTGTGTACATAACAGCGTCAATTATTGAGTGCGTTTGGCAGAAAAAAGCGCTAGCAAGCGCTTGTAAGCAAAATGGCGAAACTAAACAGTTTTCGGCCAGGACACGTTTGTCAACTTCAGTAGCGCTGACACAATCCGCCATTTTGCTTATTTAATTTGTTTGTTTTGAAGTAGAGTTTATAAGTTGTTTTGTACAATATTAGTTTTAAGTAATATAATGACATGAATAGACATATACATGTTATTAAAAATTCATGATTGGTAAGTTTTTAATATGAATACTTTACAAACATATATTTAAATTAGGTTAGGTTCCCCGTTAAAACCAACTTCGTGTCCTAGAGGAAAATTGCTACTTACGATTTGACAGCGCTTACCGCTTACGATCGTCATTTTGCTTACAAGCGCTTTTTTCTGTCAAACGTACGGTGTAGATGCTTACTCAATGCAGATATATATTGAGTAAACCTGACGAAACGTACGGTGAGTTATTGCTATTCATGAAAAATTGTAAGGCTTACAATGCTTTTGATACTGAATTTCTGAATATTGCAATTGTTTCCGTATTGTACCACAGATACACCATACAGATCTTAATAAATATTCCTCATATGTAATAATTGTGGGCTGATGTATTAATCCGGGACTATCAAAGGCATTGCGTAAAACTATGTACCTTTCAAACAATCTCATGTAATGACGAAAAATGACATCTTACCTAAGCCTTACGAAAGAGGGACTTATTATAATGGTAAGTAAGCCAACATCTAAATGTAGGTCTAAAAGGTATTGTGCCGGACGGGCGAAACTCTCCGGAGTAAATGTTGTCGAAGATACTTCGCGAGTCGCTCACGTCCTACACCTATAGGTTCCGGTGGGTACTCTCACCGCCGTCTTTGTTGTTGCCGCTGAAATATTGTGGACTGTAGTTAAAATCAAAATGCACGATTAACAAATACAAATAGCAAGGTAGTGGCCAGCGGTTCAACTTATTGATTAATCGCGAAATTTTATAACTATTATTTATTGATCACTGTTGTTAAACTACGGTTTCATATTATTCACTGTATATTTCAAAAGATTTCTTTAAATTGTACGGTGGTATCAAATATCTATTGGTAGTAGCTGGTTTTCTAACACTACTGACTAGCAGCTATTATCAACTAAACTAGTTGATTTTATCACTTGTGTAACTGCGGATATCAGTTACCACTTTCACTATATGTAACTGCGAATATCAGTTACGACCTTTTTCGGCTAGCTAACACTTTCACTATATGTAACTGCGAATATCAGTTACGACCTTTTTAGGCTAGGTAACACTTTCACTATGTAACTGCGAATGTCAGTTACGACCTTTTTCGGCTAGGTAACACTTTCACTATGTAACTGCGAATGTCAGTTACGACCTTTTTCGGCTAGCTAACACTTTGACTATATGTAACTGCGAATATCAGTTACGACCTTTTTTAGGCTAGCTAACACTTTCACTATGTAACTGCGAATGTCAGTTACGACCTTTTTAGGTTAGCTAACACTTTCACTATTCACTATATACTGCTACTAGTCACTTCAGCTACCATCGGATACCACTCACTTCACTTCACTAGTCACTGGTAGTTCTTCACACTACTACTGGTACTGGGTCCCGAGCCCCTAAGGTAGACTTTAGCAATACTTTACAGTGAGCCGCTTGCCATTTTCCATTTTGCCTCTTTATTGCATAAACATTTCACTATACATATGGCATAAATTGCAATATTCTCTATACAAAACTAATTGCTACACTAACATGCTATACATCATTAAATCGGTAGTCTGATACTTTATTAATATATCATAAAGGTTACTAAAAACATTAACATTGTAAAAAGTTATTAAACGAAATGTCCCAAATTTTCATAATATTTGGGCATTTTAATTCTTTAATTTTTCTATAACTACGAAATGCGTTTAATTATACAAAGTATTCCTACACTTTCTTAATCTATAAGCCATATGCTAATTCAATGTCATATTTATAACTCTTTTAGGACATAAAATTATTTTCATTATTTTTAGTATGATCTATTACGCAGTTAATTAAAAAACTTCTAGAGAGTTCCACGATAAGACGCGCTGTGATTGGTCGATTTTTTGGTATATAATAAAAGTTGTTTATACTACTTGTTATCAAAACGACATTCTATACAAACATATAGAGAGTTATAAATATGCCAAATAACTATATTAATACACGTTTTCACTCAGTTTTCTTGGTAATTTCACTATTAATACATAAAACAATATTCTTTATCACTTTGTTTCTTAAGGTTGTTAGGCCGTCGCGAACATCTCTCCCGCCGTGCAGCGTCGCGACGATTTTCTCACAGCGGCGCTGCATCCATTTCGGTGAGCGACGTTGCTTCTACTTCGGCAGCGGCACGAGTTTCCTGGTTGGCCTCTTGATTAGGCCGTTTGCAGTGCGTACCTCCACAGTGCGGATCTGTCCGTCCGCACCGGGGTAAACAGCTTCCACCCTCCCTCGTGGCCAGGTGTTACGAGGTAACTGGCCGTCAGCTATGAGGACTGGATCGCCCACCTGGAGATTGGGACCTCGCCCATGGGCCTCCCGCCGGTTTTGAAGTTCCGGTAAATACTCTCGGACCCAACGCTGCCAGAACATGTCAGCGAGTATCTGGGAGCGTCGCCAGTGTCTTTGGCTATTCATATCTTTTTCATCAAATACTCCAGGTGTCGGCAGTCTCGCAGATCTTCCTAAAAGGAAGTGATTTGGAGTGATGGCTTCGTCGTCGTTGCTGTCTACAGAGATGTGAGTCAATGGTCTGCTATTTACTGTGTACTCCACCTCGCAGAGCAGCGTGGCTAATACTTCCTCATGCGGATGTCTCTCATGAAGGACGGTGTATAGTGCCGTCTTCACGCATCGTATGAGACGTTCCCATACTCCTCCCATGAAAGGCGCGGAGGGGGTTATAAAACGCCACACTATGCCTCGTCTACTGGCTTCTTCTCGAAAAGCCTCCCGAAGTTCCTTGTCTGCACCGTGCATGTTGGTGCCATTGTCGGAGTAAATCTCGGTGGAGCACCCTCGGCGAGCTGCGAATCTTCATAATGCTAGTATTGCGGAGTCAGCGCTGAGGTTTGCGACAACTTCTAAGTGGACAGCTCTGGATGTGAGGCAGGTGAAGAGAGCTACGTATCTTTTCTGATGTTGACGTCCCACAGTGACTGAAAGTGGCCCAAAATAGTCCAGACCGGTGAAGGTGAACGGTCTCTGGTGATGAGCGAGACGTGTACTGGGATGGTCACCGGTCGCTGGCACTGATGGTTGTGCTTTTCTGATGCGACACTGTATGCATTGGCTCACTATCTTTTTCGTAGTGGGTCGAAGTCGGATCACCCAGTAGTGCTGTCGAACCTCGTTGATGGTAGGTTCGGTTCCGCAATGATGCAGGCTACGATGCGTCCAGTCAATATATAATTGTGTGATGTAATGATCACCATCCAATATAGCTGGCCCCTTCATGTCTTCTGTGACTCCCTTCACGGCGGCTATGCGACTTCGTAGCGCGATGATCCCGTCTTTCAATTCTATTTGAAGCGGTCGTAGGCGGCTATCATGAGCGACCTTTTCATTATTACGGAGATCAGTTATCTCTTGTGAGAAGGAGCCCTCCTGTATGGCACGTATCAGGAGCTTTTCGGCCTCTCTGATGAATTCGGCCTCTAGTGTGATGTACCTTTTGACATCTCTAGTTTTCACTTGACTGGGAGGCTGCGCGATTTGTCGCGGATTATTTTTCGATTTCCTCCAGTCGGGATCTTCCTCTTTGCCCTTTTTTGTTCTTTTATAGAAGATCCTGTCTGTAGTTTTGCGGCAGAGTGTTATGAATTGTAGCACTCTAGCCGTAGCTCGCAATAAGCGTTCCCATCTCGAAAACCTTGCTGGATCGGGAACAGCTTCTCGGAGTATCGGAGCTTGATGAGATTCCTTAATGGTGAGGGATCTTTCCTCACCTGTAGGTTCGGATGACGTGGGTCTTTCGGTTGGCCATTCTGACGGTTCTTTATACAGAAATGATGGGCCGTTGTACCACTCGTGATTGGAGTCGAAGTTCGGTGGTACGTCCCTCGTGGCAATGTCAGCTATATTCAATTTGGTAGGTACCCAGCGCCAGTCTTCTACTTTACTATGTTCCTCGATTGCCGCTATTCGGTGGGCAACGAAAGGTTTGTAACTCCTGGAGCCCTTTTTTATCCACGTGAGGACAGTTTTGCTGTCAGTCCAATATGTGACGGCTTCGGGCGTCACGCAATGTGCCTGGATAACGGCGGT